TGTTCATCCTAATTCGTTCACTCACTCCATACATGTTATCGTCTGTTTCAGGACTCTCAAGATCCAATAAGGGCGAACTTCCATCTAAAGAATTATCCGTCCTGTGTGGCTACCGGGAATATTGCTAAAAGGATATTATTTGAACGTGAAGTGGCTACCAACATATTTGAATGACGTCTGAATTTATGCAAAGTTTAGAAAACAGAATGAACTTTTACAAACACATGCAAGACCGGCGTCGGCGAAGGTTGCCTTATGTTCAGCGGCATAAGCCCCAGCACCTACACACCTTCTGGCCCACCTTTCGGGGAGCTCTTGCATGGATGCGAAAGAACCAGGAGACCCTCAACACGGCGATCAGCCTCCTTGACATCTATCCAAGTCTTATACAGGACAGTTGCATGGACGTGTTCTGGGAGTTCCTTAAACCCTACGTTGTATCAGACGACACAAAAAAATCTCAAGAAAGTGTCTCTCGACAAAATGGACGACCGGAAGTCCAGTAGGGGCCGGACTACAGCCAAAGCCAAACCTCCACCTATTCCGATCATTTCTGTTACAAACGACCTAGATGATTATACTGATGACCTGATAAAAAATTCTGATTTGAACCAGAGAAACGAAACTGTATATCAGTGGCCAACCACAGTCTGACTTCCTGAAGTCCCCGTTTTATCAACTGACATCTCAGCTGAAGGAGAAGTACAGTATTCAAGCAGAAGTGCCCAGCAACTATTCCGCACACAAGATTTGCGAATCGTTGTCTGACTGTGAAATATTCGTGTTTTTAATGAGCCAAGAGAGTGTTTCTAATCCGTCTAGCTACCGCGATCTTTCTGCAGCCTGGACAATGGACGTTCCGACAGTGTTCGTGAAACCACCAGGGTTCACACTACCAAACCCTCTGCCTGATTCAGTGATCTTGTATCCACTTGAAAGCCAAGTCAAATCAAACAGACGTAGATATGGTGATAAACTATCGCATAGTGTCACACCATCGTTAGGGAGAATTGTAAGGGTGGACCAAAGACAAGGAAGCGCGTTACCAAACCTTCGGCCATCGACTGCCCACGTGGTCAGTTCCCACGGGAAACACCCGCTCGTCCACCGCGATTCCTGTGATATCGTCCTCTTGCTTATCAATGGCTACCGTGATGCTACCGTTTGGGATCCCATTAATCAGACTCAATCCTTTAACGAAATAAAAAGGAAAATTGAAAGAAACCTTTGTAAAATGGACACACCCGTACCATCTCCTACTCCAGATATTACTACAGGAGGTATGTTTGTGGTCGGGGTAGAGACACGGAAAAACGACGTCAAACACAGCGCTGGAAACCTTTTAGCGGTACCTAGCTATGACATACATTCTCCCCTTAACGTCAGCCTCGATGACCTGACAATCGAATCTGACATACACATACCGTTCAGTCCGTCTCCATTGTACCAGAGTCTGTCCGACCCTGAAGAGGTCACAAGTCCAGTGGAGAAGGAAACGTGTTATGTCGTTTTCAAGGACCCCCATTCTCCCGGAAGTGTTGTGAAATGGCCACCCTCCGAAGATCAACTATTGGCATATGATGTCTTTGCCGATTCCCCTCTCAGTTTCAAAGATGTTGATCTATCTCTGGATATGAGGAATGAACTTGAAACATCAGACTGCGACTCGTCAGCAGGGACCTTTTAGGCAAAGGAGCGCCTGTCACTTGAAACGTCGTTCACCCGAACGGTCGTTCCCAATGTAATAGCCCGGGTTAACGAAACTTTCTTAACGGAAATGTCCTTTGTGTATTATTTAATGTTCCTAACAGAAGCTGCTCGGAGAGCAGGGTTTTCGGATTAACGAGATCTCCATGTTTTTAGTGCCTTGTGTGAAAGTGAGAAGTTACTAGTGAGAAGAAAATACTAGAGCTGTCAGCTTAGGTCTCTATTAAATGTCCCACCGACACGTAGGTGTCATCTTGTATAATAATAACGTGTGCCTGTGGAGAGTCCTGTGATACGGTTTTGTACTCAACAGGAGTTTGATTTAAATCGTATTCTCATTGTCTTGCTGTACATATCGGAACATTTCAGCTTCCAGCTTACTGATATACCTTGTTAACTAGAACTCTTTCAGCTCGACATACCATGTTACACGATTAAGCATCCTATTTTAATCAATACCCTGGAACCATTTTCTTAGGTTCAAGAGAGGGAGAGGAAAGTCCTGCTTTCACAAGTGCTCGGTTGTACTGGAGACTCAAGAAGCAAATCGACAACGGCGTTGTCGTCACTTGTGACCATAATGAAATTTACAGGGAAATAAGAGAGTCATTTTAATCGTTGTGTTATTCGAATCGGTATTAGATGCGTACCTATTTAACATAACGCAATGGATATGGAAAATCGAGGATGCGTTCAGTGCTGATGATTTGGAAACGTATCAAGACACCGATAGTGAGGAACGGCAGGTTCTGACCTGTTAAAGGTGAATTGCTTAATGTCAGACCAGAATGCCAAGAGTTACTGAGTGAGTTGAGTTTTACGCCACGTTTAGCAATATTCCAGCAATATCACTTCGGGGGACACCTGAAATGGGTTTCACACATTGTACCCAAGTGGGGTCGTCGGCGTGACGAGTGAACGCTTTAACCACTAGGCTACCCCACCGCCCTAGAATGCCGAGAACAAACGATAACATCGGTAGTACTGCCCTGTCTGTGCCTGGTTACTTTACACCCCATGTGAGTGAGTGAGTTTGGTTTTACGCCACTTTTAGCAATATCACGGCAGTGGGACACCAGAAATGGGCCCATGTGGGGAATCGAACCCGGGTCTTTAGCGTGACGAGCGGACTCTTTAACCATTAGGCTACCTCACCGCCCCTACTCCCCATGTAGTGCTGGCTATACTTAAATACCTCTCAGGGGCGTAGGAACACTTTTTTCAAGACGAACCCATACCTACCTTACCAAAACTACAATTTCATTTTGATTTTCAATACTTTTCATAAATTAGCCATTTCCTCTCTCTCTCTCTCTCTCTCTCTCCCTCTCTACGCCCCTGCTTCTTATAGCAGAACGCTGCTACACTAGTAATCTATGCTGTGTGACGGTTAGCGTGTATTAGGAACATCTGTATCAAGTCGTTTTCAGACCGGTGTGTATGATACTATTATTAACTAATTATTTCTTATTCAGAGACTTTGTGTTACCTGGATCGGGTGGTCAGCCTTGCCATCGTATCCCATCAATGCGCAGATCGATGCTCATGATGTCAGTCACAGGATGTTCTGACCCAGTCCAGGTCTAGTCGCTGGGGTAATAGTGTCCTGTGTGGAACTTGGTGTAATTTGAGTGATAGTCATCTATACTAGATTGATGCATGTAATAAATGCTGAGCTTGTATATACACAAAGTGGTGTTTGTACTTTTTAAGAACAATGTTCTCACATACTGACAGTTGCCCACTGCAATACAACTCTATGTACAGTACATTTTAATTAATGTTCCAGCATACAGATCCGTGAAGGTCCGGGTTAGAATATTGGCCTTCAGTAACCCATGCTTGTCGTAAGAGGCGACTAACGGGATCGGGTGGTCAAGCTCGTTGACTTGGTTGACACATGTCATCGGTTCCCAACTGCGCAGATCGATGCTCATGCTGTTGATCACTGGATTGTCTGGTCCAGACTTGATTATTTACAGACCGCCGCCATATAGCTGTAATATTGCTGAGTGCGGCGTGAAACTAAACTCACTCACTCAATCGTAGAGATACTGCAGCGCAACCGGTACAGAAACGGACGACTGCTGAAGTTATGTGACACTGGACATACGGTATCTGGACATAGGTCAAGTTCAGACAATAGCACGGTAATTAGTCAGTGCTCCGCCTGGGGTTAGCCACGGGCATGTGTTCAGCTTTGTTTGCTGTTAAAACTAAACTCACTCACTCACTCCAACATACAGACATTTAACCTATGATGACTGTATGTGAAGTTGCGCATTTTAAAGACCACTAAATCCTTATTTTCATATTTCCACTTTTTTGTATATGGAAGTAAATGATGTTGACCTCGTCTGTATGAAACACCACACATAACTGATGGAAAGTTGATATACGAACACTGTAGATTCCTCCACCTGGCCGCCAGGGTTAGATCAAATAACAACAACAGGGCTGTTTGTTCATTTTATTCCTAAATACAGGTGTTCTTGAAGGTATCTCAAATGGCATACAGTTTCATTCAGATCTATTTGAAATATCATTTACTTTCAGCAGAACTTTGTCCACTTCACTGAATTATTGATTTTCAACGTTATATTAATATTTTAGAAACTCGTCGCTGTCTAACTATAACTTCAGTTGTTGTTTCAAAAACGTTCAGGACCGCCTCCGTGGTGTAGTGGTTAGAGCGTCCGCCCGGAGTGCGGAAGGTCGCGGGTTCGATCCCCGACCGCGTCATACTAAAAGACGTTAAAATATGGTACTTGTTGGTCCCTGCCTGGCACGCGGCATTAATGGGTACAACAAAGACTGGTCGGCTCGGAGTCAGTATAATGTGTCTGAGTGGGGTATTCATGCTTCACTGCGGCATGGTATCTCAGTGAGCTAGCAATATAAAACCAGCTTCAGTCTGGGCTAGTACAAACAGCCGCACATACACATACACACGCATGCACGTCTTCATATGAGCGAAATATTCTCAAGCACGACGTAAAACCCAATTTCACCTCACCTCACCTCACCTCACCTCAAAAATGTTCAGAAATTATCTGAATGAGAGAAATTGTAACACAAAGATGCATATATGGAGGTTGTTGCCTACTTGTTGGGTCTAACCTTGTAACACTGTGTACTACGACTCAGACTTAAATCGACAAAGTGTTGATGACAATCCTGCAAAAATATACCACGTAAGTTTATACTTTCAAATTTTGATACATAAATAATGTCATTTTTGTTTTAATGATCAGGGAAGTGTAAGGAAAAGGTTCATTTACATGCATCCAACCTGCCAAACGGGGTTCGATCCTTCGCCACATGGGCAATGGGCGTTTTACATGGGCAATGTGGTAGAATGCCATACTGCACTTTTCAAAAAGACTAACTGACTGACTGAGTTTGGTTTTACGCCGCTTTTAGCAATATTCCAGCAACATCAAGGCGGGGGACACCAGAAATGGGCTTCACACATTGTACCCATGTGGGGATTCGAACCCGGGTCTTCGGCGTGACGAGCCAACGCTTTGACAACTAGGCTACCCCACCGCCCCTTTTCAAAAGGAAGAAAAGCATCTGAGATATATACAATGTTGACTTTGTATATGAATGCATTATTTTTGACTGCATGATGTTCGTTAACTGGTGCAATTAGAGACAATATAATAGATGGTCTATTATATGGTCTCTGGTGCAATGCATACACGCAACGTTTGTAGCTTAATACAACAATTTGTATAAAACTGCACGAACACGCACGTGTAAGTTGTGACAATCATGTGCAATACCAATGACTGCAAAAAAGGTCAAACATCAGTAAACATTTTATCAAACGTCGTCCTTTTGTAAGGAGGAAAATGGCAATCGCAGCAGGAAGTCTGGAAGGTGGCGATCGAGTCCCCTATCTGCAGTTGCGCGTCGTTTCAACGTACACAAGAGCGCCACATCTTGTTTATGGGATCAGACTTAAAGCACCGTTCGAAATACCGGTATACACGAATCAGTTCAAACAGGTATCGTCCGACAAGTGGTAGTCCTTGACAAACCACTCATGTACAGGATCGCTACACCCGGGTCTTCCATCTACGTCATCGACATGCTACTGCCATTGATGAGGGTATCGGACTAAACAACCACGAATCGCCTGTTAGAGGTGGGAATTGGACCCAGGGCACCAGAGTTTCTCCCGGTATTGGGACGTTGGCATCGACGACAACGTCAGCGATGGAACAACACAGTACAGGCCTGTACGGTCGCGATTGATAGCGATGTCTTCTCGAACGACAAGATGGAAGACTTCGTGTCCACTGACGTTGTAATGAACGTTTAATTTGTACCGAGTTGCGGTCGACGGGTCGACAGATTTGGTGGCGAAAGTGTAAAGGTGTGGGAGCCATATCTTACACACGGAGATCTGGAATGGCGGTGGTTAAGGGAATCTGACAGCACACCGCTACATCTACTAAAACCTTCAACGTCACCTTCTTCCGATTATCAACCGACATGATTTGTTTCGGTGTGATAACACCGCGACACAAACAGCTCGGGTCACGGTTGACTTCCTTAATAATTCAAAAGTCAGTATCCTGTCACGGTCCTCCAGATCTCCAGATCTGAACCCGTTAAAGCATCTGTGGGATAGACTCAATAGACTTGTACGTCAACGTCAACATACACCACAGACAGTCACAAATGTCAATACGTTGCAAGGAGAATGGAGGAGAATTCCACAGGAAAGAATAGTAGGCTTATTATTCAGTTTGTGCCAAGAGTGATTGAGTGAGTGAGTTTTACGCCCCACTCAGCAGTATTCCAGCTATATGGCGGCGGTCTGTAAATAACCGAGTCTGGACCAGACAATCCAGTGATCAACAGCATGAGCATCGATCTGCGCAATTGGGAACTGATGACATGTGTCAACCAAGCCAACGAGCCTGACCACCTGATCCCGTTTGTCGCCTCTTACGACAAGCATGGGTTACTGAACGTACATTCTAACCCGGACCTTTACGGGATTTGTGCCAAGAAGATGCAGAGCTGTGATAGTGAGTGGGTTAAGTTTACGCCGTTTTAAGCAAATATTCCAAGACTATAAAGCAAATGGGCTTCAGAAATGGGACAATGGGGACACCAGAAATGTAGGGAATCGAACCCGGGTCTTCGGCGTGACGAGCGAACGCTTTAACCATTAGGCTACCCACACCGCCCCGCAGAGCTGTGATAACAAGACATGGTGATCACACCATGCAGATACTGATCGTACAATCTATCTCGAGGATGTACAGGTTTGTCATTGTCATTTAATCAATATCGTCAAAGTCAAATTAAGTAAAATATGTACTTTAAACTAAACAAAGTATTTCTCAAAAATTGCCCGTGCGTTCATTTTCAAGAGTATATATATTTTCGCTTAAGCGCTGTATAAATTCGTGTTCATTACTAAAGACTCTTCCATACCCAGATAAAGCCAATAACATGTTATTCCATCGCGATAGAAACGCTAATCACTCACGCAATGAAACAAATTGGCAACAAATATCCAAACCTCTCATTACTCTAAGGCCTTCTATGTACATTAGGATTAGGGCGTGGAAGTGTCCAAATTACAAAATTGCAAATTGTTCATTGCAAATACATCATGTGGACTTAGAGTGAGTGAGTGAGCTGAGATTTACGCCGCACTCAGCAATATTCCAGTTATATGGCAGCGGTCTGTAAATAATCGAGTCTGGACCAGACAATCCAGTGATCAACAGTATGAGCATCGATCTGCGCAATTGGATGTGCCCTTTGAGGAAACACGTATACCTTGGAACCATGTTGAACTATGGAGCTACTGGGGCGTAGGAACGGTTTTCAGAGTGGGGGTGCTAATTTATGAAAAGTATTGAAAATCAAAGTGAAATTGTAGTTATGATAAGGTAGATACTTTTTCGTCTTGAAAAAGGCCCCCCCCCCCTGTTCCTATGCGCCTGAGCTATGGGTCTATGACTGTGGGCCTATGGGTCTATGGGCCTATGGGTCTATGACTGTGGGCCTATGGGTCTATGACTTTGGGCCTATGGGTCTATGACTGTGGACCTATGGGTCTATGACTGTGGGCCTATGGGTCTATGACTATGGGCCTATGGGTCTATGACTATGGACCTATGGATCTATGACTGTGGGCCTATGGGTCTATGACTATGGACCCATGGGTCTATGACTATGGGCCTATGGGTCTATGACTGTGGGCCTATGGGTCTTTGACTGTGGACCTATGGGTCTATGACTATGGGCCTATGGGTCTATGACTTTGGGCCTATGGGTCTATGACTTTGGGCCTATGGGTCTATGACTGTGGGTCTATGACTATGGGCCTATGGGTCTATGACTATGGGCCTATGGGTCTATGACTATGGGCCTATGGGTCTATGACTGTGGGTCTATGGGTCTTTGACTATGGGTCTATGGGTCTATGACTGTGGGCCTATGGATCTATGACTGTGGGCCTATGGGTCTATGACTATGGACCCATGGGTCTATGACTATGGGCCTATGGGTCTATGACTGTGGGCCTATGGGTCTATGACTGTGGGTCTATGGGTCTATGACTATGGGCCTATGGGTCTATGACTATGGGCCTATGGGTCTATGACTATGGGCCTATGGGTCTATGACTGTGGGTCTATGGGTCTATGACTATGGGTCTATGGGTCTATGACTGTGGGCCTATGGATCTATGACTGTGGGCCTATGGGTCTATGACTATGGACCCATGGGTCTATGACTATGGGCCTATGGGTCTATGACTATGGGCCTATGGGTCTATGACTGTGGGTCTATGGGTCTATGACTTTGGGCCTATGGGTCTATGACTGTGGACCCATGGGTCTATGACTGTGGGCCTATGGGTCTATGACTATGAGCCTATGGGTCTATGACTATGGACCTATGGGTCTATGACTGTGGGCCTATGGGTCTATGACTATGGACCTATGGGTCTATGACTATGGACCTATGGGTCTATGACTGTGGGCCTATGGGTCTATGACTGTGGACCTATGGGTCTATGACTGTGGGCCTATGGGTCTATGACTATGGGCCTATGGGTCTATGACTAAAAGCCTATGGGTCTATGACTATGGGTCTATGGGTCTATGACTATGGACCTATGGGTCTATGACTATGGACCTATGGGTCTATGACTATGGACCTATGGGTCTATGACTATGGACCTATGGGTCTATGACTATGGACCCATGGGTCTATGACAGTGGGCCTATGGGTCTATGACTGTGGGCCTATGGGTCTATGACTATGGGCCTATGGGTCTATGACTAAGAGCCTATGGCCTCGTAGTTTGTCATGAAAAACAAGATGCAGAGGGAGTTCAATACCTGCTGCCACGGAATAGTGACAAAATACGTCTGTGGAGTATATACAGTATTGTGTTTCGATAACCCTATATTTAGCTCATTTATTTGAAACAGATGTTTTTCTCCAGGAAATAGATACAGGCTTCATTGGGGTTTTTATGGCTTTTTTATTGAAAAATACTTTCAGCGGCATTTAGTTACTTCGAGGCGATGTATCCTAACATAATTTGAATTAATATATATGTGGAAGACATTCTTGATAGAATATATGTGGTTTTGACTCAATCTGTAATAGTAGTAATTCAGTAATAAGAAATTGTTATCTCGTTTTGATCAAACTCGCGCTTATTGGAACGTATAAGAATCAGTAACTACTGTATTATGTGTGGTGAAAATAGGTATAATTGCATTATATTGTTGTATCCATAGATCACAAGAACCGGTCCCGCCTCATTAAACATAATCACTGAAATGTATAAGCCGTGTACACAGCTTCCTAGACGCATGTATTCTGGCTGTACAACGAGGAAATCGAAGCCCAAACCCCTGTTGTAGGGAAAATAACAACAGGATCCATCGAACTAGCTCGTCAGTATCTATCTCACCTTCATCACTAATGGGCTGACGATAAGGGTAAACACGTGTTGCCATGGTAACCAACAAATATTGTCGCCGCGTTATGATCACGTCGAAGTTAATTTCATAATTACGGGGTTATGTGCGTCAGGGAGAACCACATTTGCCGTAACTATCGTTTACGTACTTTCAGAATGATGGTATGCTTTGAAAAATACGATACATGCTTTCGTCTTCTGATTACAGTAATTATTACCGTCGACATCTATCGATTTTATATACATATACATGTACAGATGTTTCTAGTGAGACCTAAATTGAACGGGTCTGGTGGAGCAGTGGGAGGGTATTCATTAAGGTTATGGTAGAGGGATACAAAAATGTGTTGCGAAGTGTCTTATCGTTTTAAAATGTTTTGTTTAAAAACAAAGTCAACTAATAGAATAATATCTTCCTTTCAGTCCACATCTGGGGTTAAAACTGGATGTGAAGCAAGGGGTTTTACTCACCTGGAAATGGGAGTTGGGGTTTACACACTTGGATGTGAGTTTAAAGATTACACTCATTTAGTATGATGTCAGGCTATAGACCTCTGAATATGAGGTGAGGTGTTTTCAGTCTTGGATATGTCGCTAGGGCTTTGTACACGTGGATCTCTATGTGATACTCTGTACACGTGTATCACAAGGTAGGGCTTTACACACTTGGGTCTCAAAGTAATGCTTTTACGACTGAATCACAAGATAGGCCTTTTATATACCTGGGCCATACATTAACATTGACTTACGACTATCTTAGCGCTAAGACACCTTCGAAAGTCTAGGCCCTACATCTCAAAGTAATGCTTTTACACATGTATCAAAAGGTATTTCTTTACACACGTGGATCTCAAAGTAATGCTTTTACACCATGGATCACAAGTGTTACACAATCAGATCTCAAGATAGGGCTTTATAAATCATGAAAATCATGACAATCTCTGAACCACAATCGCATCATTGGGTGTTACTAACATTTACAAGAAAAGGGTCGCACTTCAGCTTGCTACACGAATGTCATAGGATAGTATGAAAAGATACAGAAAAAATAATTTCCTGTCAACGAACATACATCATTACAACGTACATGCAGAGTGCCATATATTTCCGCTATTGAATTACTGTCAAACACTCTTATCCACCAGTGTTAAATCACAAAGATAATAACTGTGGTAAATCTGTGCGTGGAATATTCTCCAACCTGCGCCTTAACTCGACATGGGGCTTTTAATCAAGATATATAATAAGCCCAAGGTAGGTAAAATCTTATTTACGTCATCAGAGTACTAGTATATAGATACACATAGAAATATCGTTCAGTGTTTGGCTGTCTGAAGATCTGGGAAAGCAGACTGAAGATCTGGAAAAAGCAGAGGATATCGGTTTTGAACAACTGACTAGAGGGGTATAGATGTAGGTATCCTGTTTATTGTGTCTGCCATAATCGCTACAGTTTGGGTTGTGTGGCTTCCGGGGTGTACCTTTCAATACCCCTTCGGGTGGTGCTGTAGTGGTTCGCTTGTTCGCTTATCACGTCGATGACCCGGGTTCGATTTCCCACATGGGTACAATATGCCCATTTCTGGTGTTCCAAACAGTGATATTGCTGGAATACTGCTAAAAGCGGTGTAAAACCACACTCACTCACTCACTCACTTGTAGTGATAAGTTAACTGGTATCATTTCTGGTCTTAATAGGGTCCCCACAACGCTAGTAAAGGTAATTGCTCATCAGAAATGCAGAAAATGCATTCGACTTGGTTGATGAATGCATTACTCTGAACACACTTACATAAGCAGATAATTAAGGTTATCCGAGTGGAATATTGCTAAAAGCGTCATAAAAATATACTCACTTTATGACTCAATATCCCGTATTTTGATCAGGACCACAGGGGGGTATTTACACATACCCCACAACAAGTGTGGGTTCCGTATTCCTCGCCGGGAGCTCTCATGCCCGTAATTCGCCCCGTTATTTTCTGTATAACTACCGTACATGCTTGAATATACGCCCGCCTCGCGTCTACTGACACCCCGCCATGACAGGGGCATAATGATACTCCGCTACAGTGACGTTTCAAAATGAATAGTGAAAATACTATGAACCATACCAGTTGATATCGGTTGGCCCCAAACCATAGACCGCGTTAGTTTGAGAAACAGAAAGCTGGAGATAAATACAAAGCTTTTATGTAATATCATGTTGAAATACAAACTGCCTGCCTTGAATGAATGGTGGATCTCTAGACTTTCCAGAATAAACAAATGCCGGGCTTTCATCCAAGGATTTACGGAATTAACAATACTCTTTGATGTCTTGTAGTAAACCACTCTCTCTTCGATGAGATATGACCCGGGTTAGAATTGATCTTCAGTAACCCATGCTTTTCGTTAGAGGCGACTAACGGGATCGTGTAGTCAGGCTCGCTGACTTGGTTGACACATGTCATCGTATCCCAATTGTGCAGGTCGATGTTCACGCTGTTGATCCGTGGATTGTCTGGTGCAGACTCGATTATTTACAGACTGCCATCATATAGCTGGAACATTGCTGACTGCGGCGTAAAACTAAATTCACTCACTCACTCATAGAGATATTGCAGAGCAAGTGTTACAGAAACAGACGACTATTGAAGTTATGTGACACTTATTACGGGTGTCTGGACATAGGTCAAGTTCAGACAATAGCCCGGTGATTAGTCAGTGCTCCGTCTTGGGTTAGCCACGAGCATGTGGTCAGCTTTGTTTGTTTGTTGTTTACGCCGCACAAGCTTAAATTCTAGCTAATATGATGGAGGTATGTAAATACTCATATCTGGACTAGACATAATGCAACAGGACATCTGACTTTCATACAACAGATGAAGACAAATGTAAAATCCTAATAAATCGAAAATTAAAAGAAATAATATACATTAAGTCCGTGTAAGTATCAGTTAAATAGGACCTGCAAAATTCGGGATAGAATTGCTCTGCGGCAACCCATGCTTGTTGTAAGAGGCGACAAACGGGATCGGGTGGTCAGGCTCACTGACTTGGTTGTCATGTCATCGTATGTACCAGTTGCGAAGGTCGATGCTCACGATATCATTTACTGGACTGTCTGGTACAGATTTAAATATTTACAGACCACCGTCATAGCTGGACTATTGCTGAGTGCAAATATTAATATAAAATGTTAAATACATTTTGTCATTTGCATGAAACATTTCTTATCAGACACTTATCCCTTTCAGGGCGGTGGGGTAGCCATGTGGTTGAAGTGTTCGCTTGATGACCCGGGTTCGATTTCTCATTTCTGTGACCCCCGTCGTGACATAAACGGCGTAAAACCATACTCAATCACTCACTCAACCGAGTACCTGGGGTACATTTCTGCAGTACCTGTAACGACAACGACCCCTCCCTTCGGTATTGGTAGTGAGGAGTGAATAGCTAGCCCCTAAATTTTCTCATGAACTCCCTGCATGTCATGTACAAAATCAATGAACACCCCTAACTTTGAAACGTAATTTTCAATATATAAATGTACAAAATTGCTGACCCCCGAATAAATTGGGTGACCCCCTTAAAATCATCATCACCCCCCACACACACACCGCCACCCCACCCCATCCACCCCAACCATAAATTATGAACGGTCCCCATATAGTCTTTTCGTAATCTTCTATTTCCACGTGTTTTTTGGTAGAAGCATTTTGCTTGCGAACAGATTATTTTCTGTGTACACACGTTTTGATATACAGAAATAACAGACCAAAGAACATAGAGAACGAAGTAAAATTTATGGTAGAAAGCAGTGTACCTCAATCGTACGGTTACTATGAGGAAATTTCCAATTAGTAAGTGGCAATTTCCAGTTAATAGGGATATGAAAAAAAAAGTGACATGGTCCTAATAGGCTTCCGTACAATCCTCATCGTCTAAATGTTTGGGATTTTCCCTCAAGAAATTAGGTATTTTCAGTGGTGGTGTCAGCGTCATTGCGTTATTTTTAGAAACATACATTCCCGTGACGTCATCAATTTGTGTGCGAATTTTCCTTACGCTGCAAGGGACATAAGAACGACTTCGACAGTCGAAGTTAACTAATCTGAAAGAAGGATAATGTGTGCATACAGACGGGACCCCGATAAATTCACAGTTACTGCCGGCAGAGATGGGTCTCGCTCGTTTGGGGGTAATATATTACGCTTTCTTTACACTATTCGTGGCTAAACACATGGCTCCGTATCTGTGGATTACCTGCCGCCATTTGCAATCGTATTTCTCCGTATGTTTTGAGTGAACGCTTTACGTCAATTTAATCTCCGCAATTTTCCAGTCAAACGCCCGAGATTAACTACTATATGGACTACACAAAAATACACAACTGCCAGCAACGAATACAATACTTGAAGTTTATAAGAACCTGGGTACACCAACCAAAAAACTAGGGAATGTCATAATGATAGCAAACACAGTTTTTATTTTGCTCACAATGACAGGGCTTCTCGATACCTAAATGAAATATACTTTTTGTTATCATGTTTCATTGAGCCCTTAACTTGATTGTGTGTAAATACGTCGTGCTGTATGGTAACTGTAAAGTCCAAACATATGCCAACAGGAGATTTTCAATATTGGGTAATTTTGTCAACTTTTTCCTTTGACCATTCTGTACTAATTATTCTCATTTGAAGATAACACTTACGAAATTCTGGATGACAATAAATTGAGTCATTCAGTGAGCTGAAAATAATATGGGGAGCACCTTTAGAATACAGCACCACAACTTCTCGTGAGGACGATCTCTGCCGTAGGTCACATGTCATTAAGACAAGCAACCAGTTTGTGAGAACCCGTCGGACCTTGAACCCACGACCTTCGGATTGTTAGCTCGACAGCTAACCGACTGAGCTACGTCCACACTGTTACACAATGTGCAAATTTATCGAGTCATTCCTGTGACGTCACGGAAATGAACGGAAAGAGTCGAATAGGTCACGGACAATTACGAATGCTACGGGTAGACTTGGTGTCTCGTGATTTTATTCTTCGGACAATTGCCGAATGGATCCGATGCCATTTGGCACACTCGTCCCATTCCGTAATCTACAAATTAACGTGTGGCGTGGAATGAGCCGATATGCCTCAAACTGAAAAGGGTTGTTGACGTCAGGCGTCAGGCGTAGATTTTCACGGTGCATGCATGAATGACGCTTTTTATATAAATCGGTGATTTTGTGACAGAAAAGTGATGTAGGGAACACTGTAAGGATAATGTGGATCGCACTAAGGAGCGAGGGAGACATGAGCATGTGTAGTGACGGCACGAGGGTGAGTTAGCCTTCGAATCATTACTGAACAAAATTTATGTTGCGTGTGAAAGAGGCTTGAGTGCAAATTCCAGGCCAATTTCCATTAGCCCACAATTTCTACATTAACCCATTTCATAATGTACTTTCGACGTTTTTGGTTTCCCGTTTTTGTGTGAAAAAAAGTATTAAAATGCAAAAAGAAAAACAACAAATGGTACTCATTATTACACGGACATGTACCTGCTATATTGGATTAGGTCCCTAACCCCTAACCCCTAACCCCTCAGCCCTAACCCTAACCCTAACCCTTGAAATAATCCTAATAAATAGAATGCATTGACCGAACCACGGACATGTACCTACTATATTGCATTAGGTCCCCAACCCCAACCCCAACCCCCTAACCCTAACCTAACCCTAACCTAAGCCCTAAGCCCTAAGCCCTAAGCCCTAAGCCCTAGCCCTAACCCTAACCCCAATACCTTGAATTAATCCTAATAAATAGAATGCATTGACCGAACCGGCACAGAACCCGACTGGCGTGTCTAGTGTAATGCATTATTACCAGCTTCGAAAAATAAAATACTAATAAAACACTTTTCTATGTAATGGTGCAAATTACTGAATGACAAAATATATATGTAAATTTAAAAATTACAAAATACAAAATACACAAAACATAACACCTCAGCAGCCCGTAATACAAATAAATATGAGTGTATTAGTGAAAAAGAAAAATATTTCAAACTGGTGCTTGCAAAATATTACGCATCCGCCGGTATACAACTACTGGAAACTCTCAACATCGTTGGGCTTATGCAATGAAATAGCTCGTAGAGATGAAACACCAGTGAGCGGAGCTTATACGCACTCGCTGAGCCAGACAACCGTGTTGCCATGCAGGCGTCATAGGGCATTGTATCGAGAACGTGCTTTCGAACAAAATCACATTACATTACGTAAAAGGGTATTATGACGTATTTTTAAAGTTTGTGGTGCTGTATTCTAAAGGTAGGCCTAATATGGATCTGAAACCCAAAATTTCAATTTGAGTTGTCTGAAACGATGATAACTAGTTTAACAACTCACTTCCAGGGTGAATCTTGTCTAAAATACATTCACCTTTCATGAGAGAGGGATCTTATGGTGGTCATGATATCTTTTGTGAGGCAGGATATATATAAGGATGGGTATTAAAGAAAACCCAATGAAAGGAAGTTCGCTGCAGTGTGTTTCAGTCTTCTTTTCGCACAATATGCAGTATTGCCATGTTTCTGTAGTGGGTACGTAGAAACAGCTGAATTGAAGTCATATTTTTAAGTAACAAGTGTCTGTGTAGAGTGCTAAATAGATGACATATTTGGTGTGATTAATCTTATTAATAAGGAGGACCCTATCTAACAAAGTGATCAAAGCGGTAGGTTCACCTTGTGATATAGCCCAGGGTATTTAGAATATTGAAGATAGTACATGACTGGTTGATCAATAGAGACCTGTTGCACAACGTAGTCATAACTCTGTTCTTGAATGTAGACTTGCAACACCGTCATGACTGCTTTCTGAAACAGATACTGCATAAATAGATCAACTCTGGAGTATTAGTAAATAGTCTTTACATATTTATCACAAACAATTATCCCATGAGATTGATTGTTAACACAATTGTTCTTATCTCCCACTGTTTTTTAAGACATGATGTATGGTTTTTTTATTCCGCCCAGGTCATGATGACAGATATTCTGGCCCCCGATATGGTGGAGGCAACAAGTACAAAAAAAAGTATGGAAAAGGTAAGACTGATTTCTTTTCAGTAAAATGAACTGGATAAATGGTCACTCAGACTTGTTGTTAACAGTCATAATTGATAACCTGCAGTAGTAGTAGATAATAGAGGAAGAAAGACACAGTCTTTTGTACACTGTATGTGGAAAAAGCTAGTTTTCAGCCCCCTGCTTTAGTTTTGCTGGATTATTGCTAATTCAGTAATTGCAGCTTAAGACAATAAACACTTGTATGCAAAAACGATTAAAGAATGCAATGCAGTGTTATAAATCAGGGATGCCAGTTGTTCCTGATGACCACAGTAGATCAATACTAAGTCAGGTTCTTGACTCATTGTTTTGCGTACCAGATAGGTTTGATTTTTGCTTGTGCGTTCAGTCATTGGTTTACCTGGTTCAGATATAAGTTTAAATGTCTTTTTAATAAATAGTAGAAATGGTTGCATCATTACTTTATGGTGTTCAGAATTATGACATTGCAATATCTACTTACACAGGTCGAGGCTATGGTGGGTACAGTCGAGGTAGGGGGATGTCAGGTCACCCCAACCCACGTTCCAGGTTTGAAGATGACGATGGTGATGTCAACATGGATTCTGGTGGAAGTAAACCCCCGATTGTAAGTAATGGCAAGGCTTTGACTATTTTACAGTATTTAAACATCCTCTACTACAAAACAAATCACATATAAAAAAGATGTTATTCATAAAATATCTTGCCTTCATTGTCAGTTACCAACTTTTAAAAGTGCCCATCAAACAGGTCACATCAGACTTGAATATTCAATGACATAACACCACACTGAAATATGTTTCTTTTCCCTTTGTGATGAGATAGTTTAGTACAGGTACTTACCCTGCTACCCTGCGTCTGTTTCCTGACAATGGTATAAGGATCTATACCATAATGGAAAAAAAGTTATCTACAAGATATGTTGCCTCTACTGAAATCTGATATCCTTATATATTTGCCCAGTTGATAGCTTGAAATATTACTGATGATATCAGGGGTGGAAATAACCCATTCCCTGATGTCCCAGTCCAGTGGGGTTTTTTTCTGTCGGGCAAGCTAATTTGTACCTGACGCTGTACCAGTGTCCAGTTGACTTTGCAATGTTAATTATGTTGTTTATTGACAAAATCAACAAGAAAATCAGCCGGTGTAGTGGAAAAATTATCAGGGCAAGTGATTTTACATGTGCCACTGTACCTTAGTACACTAGCAATTTTAAAGCTATTTCCACCCGTTGATATGCAATGATTATGTTTCAGCACTCCCTATGGTAGAGGAGGTAGCAGTAGCAGAGGAAGGTTTAACAGGACGAGAGACCGTGAGTGGAACCATGTAACATGTTCAATGTCCCTTGGAGATCATAGCGTTAGAAATGTGTTTTTCTTTAGACTAATCCAGCTTAAAACAAGATATGTTAGTAACATTCAAAGTGATGTTATTGTGAAATGTGTAATCCCAAATATGACAGGTTATGTTTGACCACTTTCTAAAGGTGTATTCAAGCCCTCAGCTGATTATGTATCATCATGATGGTTTGGAACACTGCTCATGCAGTGCTGGTTGTCTTGGACATGGTTGACATGGTAATTCACATGCTGTCGTGATATTGCTGTAATATTGCTGGCTGTATCTTTTATCAACTTGAAACCCGTGAAGGTCCGGGTTAGAATATTGATCTTCAGTAACCCATGCTTGTCGTAAGAGGCGACTAACAGGATTGGGTGGTCAGGCTCGCTGACTTGGTTGACACATGTCATCGGTTCCCAATTGAGCATATTGATGCTCATGCTGTTGATCACTGGATTGTCTGGAGCAGACTCGATTATTTACAGACAGCCACCACATAGCTGTAATATTGCTGAGTGCGGCGTAAAACTAAACTCACTCACTTATTTTATCAACTTGAATGTAGGAATGCTGAACTTTTACGATGTTCTGATCAATACACCATAGTATATCCCACTTTCTTTGAAAAACAATAGATGAATTTCTCAGCCGAAACTTTGTTGAAGTTTGAACAACCTTTCATGGGTCATTATCCATGAGTGAGTGTTGTAATTCATTTGGATTATTTCAAGCATCCTTCACCTATGTTATCCCTTTTCAATAATCCTGTATGTTTCAAATCACGGCAAGAAAGAATCACATAAGTGATGTATTAATTTTGATATAAATTAGTTCTGAACTATCAACTTGGAACTTCTACAGAGCATGTGACAACTATACCAGGGTTTCTGTGTCTTGGCACATTGCTCTCATTGCTGCTGTGTTCTTCGCCGCCTCCGTGGTGTAGTGGTTAGAGCGTCCGCCTGGAGAGCGGAAGGCTGCGGGTTCGATCCCCGGCCGCATCATACCAAAAGACGTTAAAATATGGTACTTGTTGGTCCCTGCCTGGCCCTCGGCATTAATGGGTACAACAAAGACTGGTTGACTCGGAGTCAGTATAATGTGTCTGAGTGGGGAATTCATGCTTCACTGCGGCATGGTATCCTAGCATTATAAAACCAGCTTCAGTCTGGACTAGTACAAGCAGCCGCACATGCACATCCACACGCACGTCGTCATATGAGCGAAATATTCTCAAGCACGACGTTAAACCCAATTTCACCTCACCTGCTGTGTTCTTCAGGTGATGGTAATACGCTGCAGAGATTAGGACTGCCTATATCCAATGAGACAAGGTGGACCAAAGTCACAGTAAGTCACAAAAAGGACTTTTACAATTATTTCATACAAAACCATATTTTAGACATCTGTTTAGTTTTCATTTAACTTAAGTAAGAGTTTCAACATTAGAAATACTATGTGGAAGTGTAGGTATTAATTCACATGAACTAGTGAGCACATATATCTCCCTAAAACAGTTGTGAAATCCATTTCACTGCTTTGAAATAATATTACTAAATGGAATATCATTAGCTGAGCTTTCTAGCAATAAAGGTGCGATACTTTATGAATTGATGCAATTTTCTGGACCAAACAGAATTTCACTTTACTCCGGCTTCAGACTGCTGACTGGCATCATAGGCCTAAAAGAAAAATGTTATTTTTCCGAATAACCGACCAATCCTTGAATTCTGGTGCCGACCCTATTCTTTTTTCAAGCGGAATGAATAAAAGATGCTTTCAAATCCCATTGTTTCTTTCCCGGCACCAACAGATATTGGTCATTCTGATAGAGGAAGTCGATATGATGTTTGTACTTTACTTCTAAAAAAATCAGACCTAACAACCCTAAATTTTAAAGAGGTGTAATCGGAACCACAACATTTTTTTCATTTGGCCATATTTACAACGATGTATTTACACTACAATTAATGGAAGTAATTTTTCTATTATGTCTTCTTTGGGACAGATGAAAATGTTAGATGTAATCTTTGATATTACAGGTACCACATGGTAAAAAATGTGAGAAAGATTTTCTGTTGAAAACAATCAATGGTCAACTCTCTGCACCCTTTGAGCCAGTTTATGTGAGTATAAACGTCACTGATTCATTGTTTTCTCAGTAATGTCAACTACTTAATTCTTTTCATTCTTCTTTGATTGTATCCATTAATGACAATCTCCACTCTAAATGGTTTTCAGTTCCATTGACCACAGTAGCTGCTTGATGTAATTCAATTCATGTTATTTTATTATGCACATGTGTTGAGGCAGTTGTGGTAGGTCACGGAGACCTGCATTACGTTGCGGCATATGCTACACATTTTTTACAAAGCGTGACTGTTTTACTTCTGTGAATGCACATACAAATTGAAAAGACGTCATCCCTCTTTTTGTAAGATCTCCATTTCATGCAGTATTTTGTCTCTACCCTTGTTTGTCGTGTCAGCATGGTTAGTGGCACAAGTTCTCCTTTGGGTCACATCACCACATGAACGTAAATACATAAAAATCTTCCAAGATGCTGAAAGCAAAAGGTTCTCGTCACAACACATGAAATCCAGCGCAAATCTGAAGTCATAATCCTGTGTTTAATGTCTTTTTAGTTACCCTATACATTAAAGTTTGACCATAGACTTGGGTGGGTTTTTTTGTCAACTTTCCTAACAGAACTATTGTCATTCCAAATGCCCACTATAAACACTAGTCTATTTATGGATAGAAACAATTGAGCTGTATGGTCAGATAGAAGTAGTTCCTTTTCCTTGTAAAATTTAGCATTTATCAAAGTATAAATGCAGGTTTTTGAGTATTCTTAGAAAAGGTACAGATGCAACTTTTGTTATCCCCCATAGCGGCGTTTATGGGGGGTATTAAAATGGACTCCTCGAGCCCTTTGACAACAGTAAGAACTGCATATTTCTTCACCAAACCCTGTGTCTGGAAAATTCTGGTTTTTGGTGTTTCTTCTTTACAGTAACATAAATTATTATATAAACATGGTTCGCTTTGACTGAAACTCACCCACTCAACTTAAGGCAGATCCTTTGTTATAGTTCCATCATGAAGGGAAGAATGCTGTGATCTCTATGTGAATAAAATATTTTTGTCACCATGGCAACAAGGATGTAGGCAGTGACTATCAAACTCATAGAATACTCTCCATTCGCGCAGGATGATGTGAAAGACAATGCTATCAAATGGGGGATATAAATGGTAAGGTAAGCAAAACATTGAGAAGACATGGTTCAGTAGAAAACAGAGTATGTCCCTCTTATAAACACACGAATGAACTGTTCAACAAATAAAATCAGTTGATTCACATATACTGATTGTGATAAGGAGCCCTCCACAAGAATTTCATAGTTCAAGAGGTTTGGATGTTGGTTTAAGGAAACATCGTCATTGTTGCTTCATGTTTCATAATTTCATCATGAATTTGAAGGTCTGCTTTGTGATGTAGATGTTGGTTTTCACTGTTGAATATACCAGGTTTTACCTTGACCTACAAAACTAGGCTCTGTGTACCATGGTCTTGAGGTACTGAATCTATATCATTACAAGTGTATTGTTGCACCTTTTCTTGTAAACTTGTTGTGACAGTTGGGGTATGTTGTTGTAGATGCTCCTCAATGTTGGGTTCAGCAAACCACCCATCATTCCCATGGACGAGTCAGCTATCAAGAAACTACAGGTATGTGAAAGCTGTTTTACAATTCCAGCATTGTTTCTAAGGAAACGTTGTCTTGTGCAAACTGAAAATATATAATATTTACCACCATGGTCTCCTTATAGAACCAGAATATGTATATATTTGTAATACAAACCATGCTAGAATATGATCTATTTTTGATCAGAATGAAATAATTTGAGACTTTAATACCCAACTTTGGACCATCAAACTTTGACAGAACATGTCAACTTAGCTCTTTCTAAAATGTTGTGATCACACTCGAGATTGAACCATGTTTGGATATTTTGGTCCATATTTCTAAATTGGGATTTTCTACGTTTCAGGAACGAATGAGTGACCGATACGACCCCGACCACAAGATCTCTCAATTTGAGCTCAATGTATAGCGATGAAGGTGAATCCATTAGTACGAGACATGTAAATCTTTAGACAGACATGTTATTTCATCACCCAAATCAAATGTTTCATGAGCCGCCAGTCAGAAATATGGACTGCTACCTTGGACCGTAATACTGTGGATAACTTTATATCTGTGTCAAATAAGGTATATGTGTAATAAAGTAACCTGTTGAATGTTTGTTGTCCTGGCGTTCACTTGAACCTCTCTGTTTGCAGTACTTAGAGCGGCTGGTATGTTCCTGGCTCTGAACAGAAGCAATGTTATGTCTAATATCATCAAGGTCATAAAGGAGAACATCCCAGAGGTAATGTAACTGTGACATGAAAATATAATGGTTTATGTTGTCTGATGCTGAAAATGAATTGTTTATTCATGGGGAGATGGTTTTGCCGGTGTGACCTTGTTTGGTTAAGGTGACCTCATGTGACCATTTGGGTGACGATGTGTGTCACCTTGGCTTATCTGTGGCCCCCACATTTAAGGTGGTTTGTCCAGGACAACGTATATGACCTAGCTGTTTCACTTACACCTTATGTGTGATCTGATCAGATTTGTGTGACCTCTCGTCTGACCTGATTTGATAGGTCACTTGTGTGACCTGGCTTATTTAGGATGGCACATATGGCTTGGTTTATTTCGTGTGACCCACTATGACATGATTTGGTCAGTGTGACCTCATGTGGGATCCGTGTCATTGTCAGGTTGATCTCACTTTGACCTAGTTTGGCAAGGTTATTTCATGGTGATCTGATTTGGTCTTTGAGGTCAAGTTTGACCATGTCCAGCTAGGGTGACCTCATTGTATTAAGTTTCAGTCTGGGTTCTGAGTCTGAGCTGCAATGTTGAAATTGTTGTCACATGTTCTGCATGTGTATGATCATTACTTTGTAGCTAAACCTTAACAACACTTCATGTTCCAGCTTACAAGCCTGAACTTGAACAACAATCGCCTGCTGTCTTTAACACATGTGGCGGACATAGTCTCCGCTGCACCTGGCATTACATCACTTGACCTTGGCAAGAACCAGGTAAGGACAGGAGCTGGACATTACTTACGACAAAATTTTAATTATATTTTGACATGCTAGTGTTAAATTCCTGATGTTGCCTTGGCATAATTATGTTTGCCAGTATGATGATCATGACAATAATAGGTTGAAAGCACAGTGCCACTTGCTTGCTAAGTTAACCTTTTCTTGATACCACATTTTCTTGTGTGTAATGTGTATTTGACTTGTATGTGGGGCACAGGGGTAGCCCACTGGTTAAAGCGTTCGCTCGTCATGACGAAGACCTGGGTTCGATTCCTCACATGGGTACAATGTGTGAAGCCTATTTCTGGTGTCCTCCGCCATGATATTGCTGGAATGTTGCTAAAAGCCATGTAAAGCCATACTCACTCACTCACTCACTCATTTGATGTTTCATTTTATGAATATTGATTAGTTGCAAGAGCCCATTGATAATTGCTGACGCAAACAAAATCGATCAATATCTCGCTGATATGTTGTGGAGTGCAGCATCAAAGTACAAGCAAACCAAGCCCCCAATCCATTAAGTGGCTTCTTTCAGCCTGGTTGTTTGGGACCTGTTCTCATCCTCTCTTTTTTCAGCTACGGAACATCGATGAATTGGACAAGATCAGTGGATGGAAACTGGATCACATTCAGCTAGATGGCAACGATCTGTGCGATCGCTTCAAAGACCGTACTCAGTACATTAGGTAATGTATGGTAGCTCATTGTCTGACGGGATGCTGCACCATCGATCGGGATGACTCCTTGCCCCACCCATCCAGCCGACGGACAGGTGACAAGTGAGACAACTCAACTGGTGGCAGCAGTGCCCCCTCAGCCTCCCTCAGTTGATGGTGTCGGCAGCATGAGTGTGGCATGTGTGATACTGTCCTGCCTTAAAGCCGCAATACATGTCTCCTTACAGTCACAGGAAAATCAAGTGACCATTTACGTAGACCATCTGTACAGGTCCAGTGACAAAAGTTCATTTACTGTTAATAAACAGCTGCATTTCAAGTTTCCTTACAATGACAGGACTACAATGTTGACAGTAATGTTAAGTCTGTACTTGTAGTGTTCTTTTTTTTCATACTTTATATAGGGACTCTCTGTTTCCATGACAATTAACGATTTACAAGTTGATAAATAGCTGATGAAGTTGCTCTGGAACTGATCTCTTCTCAGATACTACACAGCCTTTCTCAATTGTCAACTGATCATATAGTCTTCCTAAGCATACCTTATAAGTAAAGAGATGGAAAAACAATCTATTTTATTCCAAGCTCTGAAATTTGTTGGATAAGATCTGAACTCTGTAAAAAAATGATTCAGAAAATGTTTAAGAAACTTTAGCCAAATTTCTCTGCCCTCATTACTTTGTAATGTTTGATGTTGTGGTGCCACTGGTTGTAATGTGCTGCATGGATGCAATAGTACCTTTGAGCATCCTCATGATACTGTGGTCTGCAGACTGGCCTGGGCTTATCTGGTGATGTCGCTACCATGAATACACCTATATCCTTGCGAAGTGAGCAAGGAGATCCTGTAGACGTATTTGTGGTACTATTTCAAGATTGTCAAACATGTTTGTAAACAAAATCTATATTCATCAAGTCATTTATACATTGCATCAACTTCCAAGTCACATATATGAATAAGCATGGTGAATTTGTCCACGACTGAGCCAAAAAGGGAAAACTGAAAAATGATCGCTAGTGTCTGCGAGATAGATAATGTTGCTCAGTTTCAGTGAGCTCAAACTGAAAAGGTTTGATCACAATCCCTGAAATTGACATGGCATTATCCCAACAGATGGATTTAGTACTGACTGTCCATGGCGTGACTTGAGTGATGCGACTGGCTCTGATGACGGGTAAGATCTCTCAGAAGGGGAGACAACCTAAGACAGGAGTGGTCGGGACTCGGGAGGGAGATGACGCCATTTGCTGAAATTGACAGTCCAGATGGTGCTACATTTGGGATTAATATGTGTGAACATTGTAACATCATCACATCATCATATGGTTGCAATATACAAATTCGGTTCTTGCACTACACTATCAGATTTGAGGTGCTTTTATAGTGTGAAAGCTCGTAAATTCATATCACCAACAGATGATATGTTTGAGTTGTCATTTGCTGGAAGACAACCTTATGACACAAACCACGGACACGTGGGAAAAAAACATGGAACATAGCAAATATTACATGTTTCAACTGATTTTATTTTTCATACAAGAACTTGAATCACCAGTTTTAGAAAAGATGAAATCTTTTAAAATTTAGGCAAAAGATTTTAAATTCTGTCATATTAAAATTTAATTTGTCTTGATTACAATTATTGATAATTGTTTCTGATGACATCCAAGAAAAAAAAAATTCTTTCTCATTTTTGAACTAATTGTTGAATTTTTTCGTGATCATCTGGGAAATTTTTTTTCATTGGATATAGTTCATGGAAATGAATTCTTGTCATCAAAGGAAGCAGCTTTGTTTTCTTAAGATCCGAATAGATACAGTTAGTGACTTGTGATGTTCCTGTAATGCATCAATGACTTCATAATGTGCAAAATTTGCCAGTAAATTCATTTTTATGCCAGCATTTAGAACAAATTCACCTCTCCGATGAATTTAATGAATTAATTGTATGAATCAATAAATTTCAGTTCCCATATCCATCAAATTGGACCCTTTTATTAAGTTACCAGCCGCCTTGCTTTCCCCAGTCTGCAGACCACATTTCAGAGGATGCTCAATGATATATTATTGACAATCCTCATGCAATTCATTGTTGAAAAGTTAATGTCTGTATACCTGGAAAATTCAAACATTTTGTTACAAGGAGCATGTATCTGAAATAGGAAAATCATTTAATTCTTTACATTAAATTACAGTGTTTGCTAGTGATGATATGTATCATAAAGACAATAACAAGATTTTCAGAATTTTGTTGGAGAGATATAACTTATAGATAGAGATGTGAGGAACATTGTATTTGTCAACATGATTACTGACAGTGCATTAGTTCATTAATTACATTGATAATTACTGTTTGTCTATGAAGCATATTTCAGTATACTTAGAAAAGTGACATGAAATTTTGCAGTGCTGTACGCAAGCGGTTTCCCAAGGTCATAAATCTGGTGAGTAGAGATGCAATGATAAAGAATGGAACTTGATGCTTACTTTTTCTTATACATGTATATCATACTTTGGCCTTCTCTTCTCTCATCCCCCTCTACTTTGTCGTCCCCAAAGAACCCTAATAAACCCATTTATATTTCATTTTGTAAAGCTGAACCATATTTTATCACATCCATTGTCGTACGCTACCAGTGTAAAGTTATTTCGTTTCAATCGTTGCAAATACAAAATAGCAAGCCTCTTTTTGGCTGGGGGGAGGTGGGGTAGCCTAGTGGTTAAAGCGTTGGCTTGTCACGCCGAAGACCCGGGTTCGAATCCCCACATGGGTACATTGTGTGAAGCCCATTTCTGGTGTCCCCCGCCGTGATGTTGCTGGAATATTGCTAAAAGCGGAGTAAAACCAAACTCACTCACTCACTCTTTTTGGCTGGGCAGAAGTTAAATTGCACCTTATTGTTGTATTCTTTTCCCTTTTATCATGCACAAGAAATACATTATAATCTTACCATATAGAATGAGTCATGTTGCTTCTGTTGCAGGATGGTCACGCGCTGCCGGCCCCGATTACATTTGAGTTGGAAACAAGCACTGTGTTGCCCAGAACAAAGGTATATGGCCATTCATGTGTTTTTTTACAGTGCATAATACTCAAAAAGTGTTTCTTTGTATAACTCAAATACAGTTTAAAGCAACTCATGGACACGTGGAGCTTTAGATGACAAGATAGGATATAATCACTGTGTATTGATATTAATTGTATTGTTACAGAATTGTCTTGTCATTGTTTTCAGGAAAGTTACTTTCTCAATGAAGACATCCAAAACATAGTGGTGAAATTCTTGAGGGAGTTCTTCTCGATATATGATGCAGATAACAGACAACCTTTGCTAGATGCTTACCATGAACAAGTGAGTTGCCGTTGTCGTCTTTACCTCTTAAGAATTCTGTACAGGTGGTGGTAAGGCAAGATGTTATTCTATTTCTTGCTTTAAAGATTGTTTGTGAAAAAATTCTTGTCGGTTGTTGGAAGAAAATAAACTAAAAGGACTTATTATTTCTTCGTTCTACAAGCAATATCACAGTTACGTGTAGTGTTGATCACTTAAGTTTGTATTTGTAAGGGGGCGGTGGGGTAGCCAAGTGGTTAAAGCGTTGGCTCGTCACGCCGAAGGCCCGGGTTTGATTCCCCACATGGGCACAATGTGTTAAGCCCTTTTCTGGTGTCCCCAGCCGTGATATTGCTGGAATATTGCTAAAAGCGGCGTAAAACTAAACTCAGTCAGTCAGTCAGTTGTATTTGTAAGAAGTAAGAATTCTTTGGCATATTTTGGTTTTAGGATCAGTGGAAACAATGAACCATTTGAATGTCTGACCTTGAAATTTTGTTGTAGTACATCACAGCAGATTTTGTAATGTCCTGAAAGCCACAATTTTCAGTATGGAAGTGTTGCAGTGGACATGAATAAACATTTACAATGCTGATTCACCTTGTCCTGTTTTGAGGGAGGTGTTCGGGTTGGTACAACTGAGACTGTTTTGGTTCTGTTCTGTTCTTACAGTATTGTAATATTTACTTTGTGTGCATTTTCAGGCATTATTCTCTATGACAGCTTCCTACAACCCTGCAAATGACTACAAGTAAGTCAAGCATTAGATCACTCTGAAACCTTTACAGACAGCGTAAGATTGTCAGCAGTGGGGTAACAATACAGCAGTACACTATTATATGGCAAACGATGCCCATGATAAAATACACTGATTTACAATAATTGTATTGTGATACAATGCATTGCATTATTAATTACATTCATGTGAAAACATGAGAATACTAAAAACCAGCTCTCACAGACTCTCTCACTTTTAGTTGGGTATAAATTAGAGCATAACATTCACAGTATCTTCTCCATGTTGCAGACCTGTTTTATCCCAACTTCTATCTCTGATACATCAAACAAAAGAAATAAATCATGGTTGTGAATCATGAATTGAGAATGTCAGTGCATGAAATCTGTACCAGGTTATTAGTTTGGTATCAAGATACTGTATCATTACGCCTCTTATTAAGACTCTCTTGCCTGCTGGGGTTTGCCATGGTTTCCTTTCTCCTTCCTTCCCTCTGGCATACTTTATATGCTATGAATTGTATAAGTAAGGAAAGAATCTTTAATTATTGAATGTATGTTTTAGATGGATTTTCTCAGAACCATATAATTTGTTCTTCGGGCCTGTAGAAAATAGAATCTGCATGTACAATCAGTGTCACTCCCTGTCAAACACTTTAGCTCCAAATATATCGCAACACATATCACAATACAGATGCCAGTATCACAATACAATATACTAGTATTTGCCTATTCACAGTCCCAGTTATAACTATTTTCTTTCTTTTTATCCCCCGCAACGTCCGTCCATCCGTGCATATTTGTCTTTTCCAGAGCAGAACTCTAAAACCGTTCACTATTTCTTCACCAAGCTTGGCAGATAGATAGATCTGGTGGTGTACTGATGCCTTTTGGTAGTGTTGGAATTCTGAATAAAACATTTTTGGCGTTTCCATGGCAACAAGTTCGACTTCGAATGAATTTAGTGGTAGTGCTCTTTTCCGGAGCTGAACTCTAAAACTGTTCACTATTTCTTCACCGAACTTGGCACATAGATTGGTCTGGTGGTGTACTGGTGCCATTTGGTAGTTTTGGAATTCTGAATAAACTATTTTTGGCGTTTCCGTGGCAACAAGTTCGACTAAGTATGAAATTAGTGGTAGTACTCTTTTCCGGAGCAGAACTCTAAAACCATTCACTATTTCTTCTCCAAACTTGGCAGATAGATAGATCTGGTGGTGTACTGGTTCCTTTTTGGTAGTTTTGGAATTCTGAATAAAATATTTTTGACGTTTCTATGGCAACAAGTTTGACTAAAACAGAAATTAGTGGTATTCCTTTACCATTTTTATCCCACCGGCAATATTTTTCAACAAGACATGGTAGATATATCAAACAGATCCTAAAGTTGTGCCTTTTGCTATTTGCAGATTTTTGGCATTTTAATTTTTCCCAGTTTCCATGGAAACGATTCGGACTTAGTCCCAAAAGTGAGGGGTGGGCTTCGTTTCCGGAGCATAACTCAAGAACCGTTCAATATTTTTCAACAAAATTTGGTAGATATATGAAACAGAACCTTAAGTGGTGCCTTTTGCTATTTGCAGATTTTTGGCATTTTTATTTTTCTCAGTTTCCATGGAAACGATTCAGACTTAGTCTCAAAAGGGCAGGGTAGGTTTTGTTTCCGGAGCACAACTCTAAAACTTCTTAATATCTTTCAGTAAAACTTGGCAGATATGAGAGGCAGATCCTGAAGGGGTGCCTTTTGCTATTTGCAGATTTTTGTCATTTATTTTTTTCATGATTTCCGTGGAACGATTTGCACTTAGTCTCAAATCAAGCTGGACTTTAAGTAACTGTCAGATGATTTGTTCTTTCAAAGATGTGGGGGCCGGGGGGATATGTCATCTTCTGATGACTCTTGTTTAATCAGCGAACATCATTGAAGATATATGAAGATAATGAAGTAAAACGATTCGTATTTGCTTACTTTCAGGCAAGCATCCCTGAATGAATACATCTCTGAAAGCAGAAACCTTTTAAAGTGCAGAGACCAAGGTTTGTAGAAGTTTGTTTGTTGAAGTATCATGTGTTGATTAAGTAAAACACAATCTACTGTTAGGTTAATATGGGGGGAAAAATGAAACATAAAATTTTATGGATGACGACTTCTTGTTTATTGCGTTGAGCGACATTTCGATGTAGATTCCAACATCATTATCAAGCTAAAAGTGATTACAGCCAAATGGTGAGAAGCATATATATGGTATGTTGTGACAAGCAGCAGATTACCCTAAACAACAGCATGTAATAGAATAACAAGTGGTACATATTTTGTCATTTAGCTTGATAACGATGTAAGAATCTACATCGAAACAAGTTGTCATCCATAAAGTTGTATGTTTCATTTTTGACTAGCCAACTTCTAGAATGCTGATCAAACACAGAGAAAAAATGGTTCATCATATTATCAGCACCCAGTGGATTACAGGTTACAGTTGGTCAAAGCTGTCTAAGCCTTTCATGATTTGAAAGATCCATGGTTAGTCTATTGATATACAATCATAACCAGATTACATGAAATGCTGTTGTTCTTGCACACTGTGCAGGGTTGCCTCCCTTAGCTGTACCAGCATGTGCTTATAAGGAAAATACCCATACTCATTGTTAAATGTCCCCACCCACATTCGGATGACACTTTGTGCTAGGATTTGGCTGAGTGCAGCATTATGCAGAAAACATCATCTACGACGCTATCTACCTTGGAGTGGCTTGCATAATGGTGTGCACTCATTATTGGCTTAGTGCATTACCTTCTTTGTTAACTGTTGCAGTAAGGAGAGATAAGTTGTTACGGCAAGGGAAGCTGTCGGTGGTGTCGCAGCTGTGCCTGATGGCTAAGACAACCCATGATCCCAACTCCTTCATTGTTGACGTCAGTCATGCCAGTGTAAGTATGGGTGTTTCTTTGGGTGTAAATGGTGCAGCCTTAATTATTTACATTCTGAACTGGTCACATTAAGTTCAAGATACAGAAATTAGATTTGTTGGACTGAATGCTTTGCTTAGTTGTTACAAGAACTTAGATTGTCAAATATTGAGCTGCATTAGACTTCCATTGCCTATCTATTTACCATAGTCTGTTTGCAGTGAAAACATACCGGTGAATTGCACTTTAAACAAAATGTAAATCGATTACAGTGAAATTAAGATTGCAAATCCTCATTTTCTACCTTGCCAATGGAACATTTAAATCTTAGATTTTTATTCAACTTATGAAAAAAGTTGTTTAACAAACGATCATAGTTTCAAATCGCTTATATTGGTTTGTATTACAAGGGGGTAAGCGCAGTAGTTGGAACAGGGAAACAAATACTCGTGCGGTACGTGATGAGCGTTAACTTAGACCAACCCTACTTGATCTCGGTGTTTCATTTTATGTGCATATCCCCTTGTAATACAAACCAATAATAGCGATTTGAAACTATGATCGTTTGTTAAACAACTTTCATCCCAAGTTAAATAAAATTCTGAGATTTAAATTTTCAAATGGCAAGATAAAATTATGAGGATTCGCAGTCATAATTTCACTTTATTTGATTTACTTTTTTGTTTAAAGTGAAATTCATCGGTACGTTTTCACCGCAAACAGACTATAGTTTGCTGTCATCTTCCATCAGGAAATGTTCAAAGCTGTTGAGCAATAATGTTAGGAGGTCAGTTTGATGAGCAAATACATGTCTCTAGCATGTGAATCTCCAGATGTCATACTTATGTATAGAAAACCATGTCATGCCATTTCATCTTGTGTTGCAGAACACACATCTTATATTTGCACTGTCTGGTGTTTTCAAAGAAAGTAAGTTGTCAACTTCTAATATTTATTTTGTAAATAACACAGTAATTTGCTGACCTTGCACATCAGCCAACCTGCCAAGAAAAACCTTCAAATCACTACCTAAATGATGTCCCTCTGAGAAAAGCAGATGCCATATTATTGAACAAAAGGAAAGTTTGGGATAATGTCTGAAATACGAGGTACAAGTTGAGAAACTGTTATGAAATTTATTTGACAGGTGAAAGCAAATCAGACAAGCCTCCAATCCGAGCCTTCAACCGAGTCTTCTATACAGTGCCAGCAGGAAGTGGGTAGGTGCATCTTACACTGTAGGGGCCAGTTTTAAAGGTACAGCTTGTTCAGCTTGACCTGATCAAGTGAAAACTAATGTTTTGCGTGACCATGTCAAAACTGATTGAGTCTATTATTGTGAAGGGGTGCACCTCTGTCAGTTGATTGTCAACATGTCGAACAGCCGAGATAAGGTCGCCATTTAACATTCACTGCTCGCCTATTTAATGAGGTTAACTCGACCTGCCGTTTGTGCCATTTGACCTCCTGGGTCATGCATATGTAGAGTAGCTCAGGTCAAGCTGAACAAGATGTATTTAATAGCCTGAAAATACTCTCGAATCTCAACGTATTTCAGCAGTTTTAGACTTGGTTTATAGTACTAGTTGTTACAATTCTATGAATAAATGTCTCGTCTTTAGCATGTTAAGGGCTTTGGTTGTGGTAACAGGTTGTTACATGTTTATGGTGTATGTGATATTTAGTTGTCTCTCTCTCTGCAGGATGGTGATAACCAATGATATGTTGACAGTCAGCAATGCCACGACGGAACAGATGCAGGTAAGAAAGTGCCGCACTTCCTTTTACTTCATAGCTATATGGTAATTTGTCTTAAAGTGCCTAGATTTACTAATCAGTGTTGATTTTCTTAGACATGCCAGGATCTGCAAACACAGGGTTCAAATCCCAGATTCACACTGTTTGTTAACCTTGGTTTGTCTGCACCAAGCAGGTATTTGTTGGGATCACAAAAGTGATGAGCATGCTTTGAACTTTCTTCCCATTAATTGCTGTCATGCCATTTTATCTAACTGAAGTACTTTCAAACATTAAACTATCTCATTCACTTACTTGTAAATCTTTCACTTACTTGCCTTATTTAGATATGTGTTATTTTAGTTTTAATGGTGTATTAGCGTTATGTTAAATCTAATCCCACCATAATTTTCAACATGGCTGTTTTCTCCTAAGTCACTGCATTTTAATTTAGTTTTCACATGTTTGGTTTTTTATAAGGAGTATGCTGCGTATGTTGTAGAATGCCTTCAAGAGTGCTGGCCCCACCCCTTCCTCTAGTCCAGTGACAGGTGTCCCCCCTGAGCTTCCGTCCACAAGTTCTGGAGGGGTAGATCGCCAGACTTTGATCCAGAAGTTTTCATTACAGTCTGGAATGAACCTTGATTGGTCAGGAAAGTAAGTACTTTTGTCAGCTATAATTACCCTTGTATGGGTTTATCATTAACTCAACCAGTGCAGCAAGAAACCAATGCTTGTACAGTGTTCTAATATTTGCATGAAAGTCAAGGGGTCTTTGTGGTAACCCCAGTGTTGTAAGTTCAACATTTAGCGTGTCCCTAGACAGGGCTACAGATGAGGGGCGTACAGGCGTAATGTATGACTCAATATCAATGAAGTACGACATAATATGAGATTTCAAGCGTATCATGTACGCACATGAATACCTTTGTACGTCTAACATTTAATGTCCATGCGTATCGTGCAAGTGGAAATTTATTTCGGATAAATACTTGTTGTCAAGAGTTTCTTTTCCAAGGCGATTTGACACATGAGGAAACCCCAGCAGTGGGAATCCCTTGCGTTGCTATTTTTCGATTGGCTAAAAACAACACTGTTCCTATTTATATCCAGTCGGCCCTGACATTTCGCGCATCACACGGTCGCTCAGTTATTTCTCACTCGTCTTCAAATAAAAAATACATGGTTGGAAATAGTGATCAGTGAATCGTCCAGACAAACCACATCACCAACAAACTCACACAAAAACATGTCAGTACACCTCCAAAATTCTCAGTACACCTACACTTCCAACATGTGCAAGTACACCCACACCCCCAAAAGTTATCTGGAGCCCTGCCTAGATTCAAGTTACTGTAGAGGACCTCAAGGGAACTGATACACTGTGGGTTTGGGATTCCAGATTTGCCCTGATTATTTTCCTAGGTTTTTCAGCAACATGCCCATGCACTGAGTTTGTTGAAAGTGATAATCATGTAACACCTGCATCAGTTTGGTATTTCCTCCAATAGGCTGGCACATCATAATAAGGATGATATAGATTCACAAAGAACTCCTTCGCTCACTTGTTTAATCAGCTGTGAAGATCAGAGTTAGATCTTCAGCAAACCATGCTTGTCATAACAGGACTGTTGACACATAACATTATATCCAATTGTGTAGATCATACTCACGCTGTCATATTGCTGCATGCGGTGTTAAACAATAAACAAACACTCATTTAATCAACACATCATCAAAACTTTTGGACAACATAAGGATGTGATCTCAGTGTCAGTGTGAAATTTTAGGTTTTCCTTTTGCTGAAGATATCTTAAGAAATGAAATTAACCATAAAGGCAGCAAAGACTTATTTCCCTGTGTTCTTATTAATAGGCAATATAAGCATGTGATCTTTGTTTTTGTAGATGTCTGGAAGAAAATAACTGGGACTATGAGAAGTCAGCTACCGTCTTCACTCAACTCAATGTATGTATACAGCGAAGTCCATAGATGTAAATTCATGTTTGTGTGGCAACTGCAGTGGACAAAATCCAAGTTATGACACAAAGGTGTCTACATGTATACTGGGAACTGAATAGATACAGTTTCATTTGTTTCTATAGGAATTGATGTGGGCAGGATCCACTATTGTATAGGTGAAATAATACTTAGTTTGGCATGAAATAACATTATCTCTGCAATTCACTGTGCAGTGCCATCTGGTTGCTTGGTCCTGAATCCTACTCCAAATGGTGGAGGGCATGTTCGGCAGGCAGGCAGGCTTGATTATAAGGAAATAATGGGACATCCTTGCTTGCACATTTGTCACCAGTCAATTTATTGAACACACAGATGATCATATGTCCAAATCCCAGATTCAGTCTTAAAAGAGTGTCACCCATGAAGTTCCAGGTTAGAGTTGATCTTCAGCAACCCATGCTTGTTGTAAGAGGCGACTGATTGGATCGGGTCATCAGACTCACTGACTTGATTGAGACTTAGCATCATATCCCAGTTACATAGATTGGTGCATATAAGGTCAATCACTGGATTGCCTGGCCTGGACTCGTTTATTTACTGACAACCATCACAGCTGAAACATTGCTGAGTGCTGCGTTAAACAACAACAAAAGCAAAAAGTGTGTCAGTACCATATACCCTTGCTCATATCTTTCACCAAAGTGGTAAACTTTCAAGACCTGCATCACTGTAGGATGTTTCTAACTTCCTTATCCACAAATTTTATTTTCTTCTTTTACTTTCCTCTCTCCCTATTGTGTATGAACCCTAGAGAAATCATTCTAGACATAAGATACAAATAGAATCTATTGGGTATTATAGAAAGATAATTTGATATTGCAGGGTGATGGCCGGATTCCACCCCTGGCTTTCGTGAAATGAGAGAAGCTTGACCTCTATCATCATTGTGGTTATCTACAACACGCCTCAGCACTTTGTCAGACATTGAGAGTAACGTTACAAGCTTCTGTTGCCATGAAGAGTGAAAAACCTCCTTGATTGAAGGTGTATGCAGGAACATGTGTGAATATGCACACAGTTCCCAGATGGAAATAATGCAACAGCAGAATCAGAACCTAAAAGATGGATTTTGTTCATTGTGTAAAGATCTCAGACAAGAACTTGTCAGTGATAAATTTCCTTATTTGAAGTGTATAGTACTTTGTATATATGTGTACATTTTATTGTGTAAATAACTGGTGGACGAGATGTTTTTCAGAAATGACAATCAAAAAGTATGAGCAAATTAATTACTGTTCATTTTCCAGATCATTTCTGTGAAGATTTCCCTTCCTTCATTTGAATTGTTGAAAGTGTTTTTAAGATGAAAACTATTTTTTTATTCAAACATTTGTTGTATTTTGTTGATTTTGCATGTTTTTATATAAGTAGTGTGTTCTGGTGAGAGTAGTTCAGGGAAGGATCATGTACTTTGTAACAGAAATTAAATGCTGTATGATAATGTTTGTGACCTGTTAAAAGACATCAACAGGATTTTCATATACTTGTATTTGTAAGTGGTTGTTATTTGATTTGATTTGATTTGAATTTTTATTTTTTCATGAATTCTTTACATGATGCATATGTATGTAAAGATACGGCAAATTTAAGGTGTAGAAATAGACATAGGGAAATCATTTGGAACACTAAAATAGTGCTGTTTTGTTGATATTTCAGAAATAGATATTTATTTTCTTACAAATTGAATTCCTTGAAACCAATGGCTGTTTTATTTATATAAATTATACACTATCAATTACTTGGTTTACAGATTGTTTGTATACTTAAAACATATAGTGGTTAACAAAACTAGAAAGGAAGAGGGCAAATATTGGCTCATTTTAAATGTAAAATATAAATTTTTGGAACATCAGCATGAAAATTATCAGACATGTTTTTGCTGACAATTGCAATATTTTTTTATTCTTGTTGTGATCAGAAGTATGGCTAAAACGAGTGAATAGGGCAGAATTTGTATCTATGACCATTCTAGTCCATGACCCAGAATGATCTTTCTCACTTTGTTTGTTCGGTCTTTGACTACAGCTAAAAAATATGCCTATTCAAAAATTACAAATGCTTCCTGAAAACATAAAACGTCAGCCCTTTTGACATGTCTGATAATTATCATCAGTATTTGTGAAATTTACATTCCTATTTGTTAATTATACAGATCCTGTGGGCCATTTTGTACCTATTAAACACTGTCCTTGAAAGCAATTTTTGAAAAAGATATTCATAAAGTGAAAATGAAGAAAAAATCCAAAGAAAAGTGGGTTACTTCTTTGGCCACATGGATTTTTTGTATTGTAGTTGATTCATGACAAAAGAAAGAAGAAAATAATCAAATTATGAATATTAAGAAATTGTGCTTGCTGAATCTGTTGAACATATCTGAACAGAATATTGAAGATTACTTTTGCATGGAAAATACTTCAATGTTAATTTAGAGATTTCAGTTTACTTGTGAAAGTGCAATGTTGTGTGTATTTGATTCACAATGACTGTATTACATGCCCTCTGAACAAGCCCATAGGATTTGGCCTGGATGTTTTTAGTTGTATGATGCATCTATTGTAACATTGAGTAATCCTGTACAAATGTAAATAGTTTTATGTGATGCTCATGCATAAGTATTCTGTGTTCAACACCGACACAAAAGTGAATGTACAGTATTGTTGAAATATGTACATAAATAAATGCCATGAAAACAAAAGCAATATTTTGTTGTTCTGTGAAAGAAACCCTGTTTTTCTTTCAGTATACATAATGCTGATGTCATGACTTTGTATATCACTGTAAATGTACCTTAGGCCAGACAAACATGTGGTTGATGTCATGAGCCACACAACTGTCCAAGCCTGGCGACAGAATCTTCATTAGTATAATTTCCTGGGGATATTGTGACATGGTAATGCATCTGTAGTGTGTGGAAATGGCTTGTCAATTAGAAATGATGTTATAGCAGTCAGGATATGCTGAAGATAACAAAGTCAGGTTCAATTCCCCACTCAAATATTGGCTGTGGATCAATCATGTTTCTCAATGGGTTTTTTATGCCCCCGCCATATATGGCAGGGGTATATAGGGTTACCCTTGGTGTCCGTCCGTCCGTACGAAACAGGGAATGTATTCTATCCACTTCTCCACCATAACCGCTCTGTGAAATTCAATGAACTTATACATGGGCTTTCTTGGGACTCTAATGGTGTGCATCTCATTTTTTTATTTTTATTTTTATTTTTTTTAAGTTTAGAGACATTTGAACTTAGGTATATTTTGCTGAATTTCTCTATGTAATAGGGGATGAAGTCTATCCACTTCTCCACAAAAACTGCTCAACAGAATTGAATGAACTTCTACATGTCTTTTGTAGGGACTCTAAAGGTGTGCATTTCATAATTTTGTATGCAATTTCTTAATTTTGTCACTTTTACAGATGTTCAACTTAGTTGAATCTCGCGTTATTCAGCCAGTGTTAGCCATCCAACAGTGTGTAATGCTATCCACTCTCCTCAAAAACAGGAATTCATTTAGATTACACATTTGCTTTATAGGGACTCTAAAGGTCCTCTCATATTTTGATTTTGTATTTTATTTATTTTTCCAATTTTAATGCCGTTTGAACTTAGATAAATTTTGTTGAATTTCTCTCTGAATATAGTGTTGTAGGGGGTGAAGTCTATCCACTTCTCCACAAAAGCTGCTCAACAAAATTGATTGAGCTTCTACGTGTGCATCTCATACCTTGTTCATCCAATTTCTTAATTTTGTCACTTTTACAGATGCTTGAACTTAGTTGAATTTTGTTCTATTCAGTCTGTTCGTTCCATCCAACAGGGGGTGTATGTTATCCACTTCTCCTCAAAAACTACTTTATGGAATTCATTTAGATTACACATTTGCTTTATAGGGACTCTAAAGGTGTGCATCTCATACTTTGATTTTGTATTTTATTTATTTTTCCAATTTTAATGCCGTTTAAACTTGCATAAATTTTGTTGAATTTCTCTCTGAATATAGTGTTGTAGGGGGTGAAGTCTATCCACTTCTCCACAAAAGCTGCTCAACAGAATTGATTGAGCTTCTACGTGTGTTTCATTGGGACTCTAAAGGTGTGCGTCTCATACCTTGTTCATCCAATTTCTTAATTTTGTCACTTCTACAGATGTTTGAACTTGAATTGGCTCTATTCATCCAGTTTGTCCCATACAACAGGGGGTGTACTTTATCCACTTCTCCTCAAAAACCACTGCACAAAACTCATTTAGCTTACATATGTCTTTTATAGAGACTCTAAAGGTGTGCATCTCATATTTTGTTTTCGTATTTTATAATTTTTTTGTGTTTAGAGAATTTTGAACTTAGATAAATTTTCCTGAATTTCTCTGTGATGATAGTGAAATAGGGGATTAAGTCTATCCACTTCTCCACAAAAACTGCTCAACAGAATTGATTAAGCTTATACATGTGTTTCATTGAGACTCGAAAGGTGTGCATGTCATAGTTGCACAGATGTTTATTGAACTTGTTCGTGAATTTTGTTCAATTATTGATCTTTATATGTCTTATGAATGTCAGCGGGGGCATCCGTGTCCCTGGACACAATTTTTTCTTGTTTTTTTTTTAACCATGTCTGATTTATACAGAAATGGTAAATTCCAAATAGTGCAGACTTCTAAGGTTAAATTCTAAAGAAGCTCAGTCACTTAACTACAAGAAATTGTTGAATTTATACTTCCTAACAAGTAAAATTTGTCCTACAAACCTGGATTCACAGCGTTTTGATTGTAGCATGTTAATGTATACAAAAACTTGGACACGATAACTTGGGGGAAAAAAAAGGAATGTGCAGGGGTGTTAGCACAACTTTGATGTCGTGCACACAGCTGGACCAGAGACATTTGTTGGAGTGAGTGAGTTTAGTTTTACGCCACACACATTTGTTGGAAGTACAGCATTGTCACATTATGGACTTGGGCTGCCTAAGCAAATCAAACTGGTAAAACAGTACAGGATTATGATCGACACGCTGTTTAGAGATGCCAACTTTCCAATTTTCAAATGCAAAATCTGCTCTCCGATTTTTTAGAAAAACTCTGACTTCATTTTTGCGGTATACAATTTTGTAAGTCACTGGTGATTTATTTGAGTGAAAACTGGTAAAAGCATTCAGAAGCTTAGCGTGTGATCCTTTGGCGTGTTGATTGTGTATATTGCGTGTTATTGACGATGAAGTTTCACAAAGTTTTTCTGAATGCATGTCATAGTCCGTATGAAAGTGAAACAAAATGGCAGAGCCGACCACGCGCTCACCCCCAACTCGCACCTTTGGTGCTCAGACCTGGCTTTCACCAAGTCATGACTCCAATTTCCTTAGATTCAGAGTTGGCATCTCTGGCCGTTTCAAAAAGAAAAAGAATCACCTAAAACTGGAATGGTCTAAAAATGTTTTATTTATAGATTCCATGTATACTTCCATTAAACGAAAGATAAATAGAAATATATATATATATCAATGAATGTGTTCTATAATAAAACAACAGCAAGAAGCAACAATGGACAAGGTTCAGGTAATTCTTGACCACTTCAGTGTTAATCAATTGGACAAACCAATATAATTTGTAGACCTCATTGACACACATATCTGACAAAACTACAAGATTTACTCATGTTTCGCGCAGATCCAATGAGATTTGTTGTACTTATGGATGCTGAATTTAACATTAAAGAAACTTGTTTCCTTCAAATTCTTTTTGTCCATGATGAAAAAATGGAAGTGAATTATAACAGAAATAGAAGCCACCACATGACTAACACGATTCATATCAACAAAGGAAATAAACTTATCAGTGTTTGATGGATTTATTCTGAGTGTGAGGACCTCATCTGGGGCGGACACAGCTTTGAGAAAGGGGGAAGCAGACTTCATTTTCACCTGTTACCACGGGTCATTTAATAAACTTTCAGGACAAAATGGACGCACGCACACGCACACCTATGCTCATAGGGTTTCAGAAGGTCGCGGGTTCGATCCCCGACCGCGTCATACCAAAAGACGTTAAAATATGGTACTTGTTGGTCTCTGCCTGGCGCTCGGCATTAATGGGTACAACAAGGACTGGTCGGCTCGGAGTCAGTATAATGTGTCTGAGTGGGGTATTCATGCTTCACTGCGGCATCGTATCTCAGTGGGCTAGCACTATAAAACCAGCTTAAGTCTGGGCTAGTACAAGCAGCCGCACATACACATACACATGCATGCACATCGTCATATGAGCGAAATATTCTCAAGCACGACGTAAAACCCAATTTCACCTCACCTCACCTCATAGGGTTTCAGGGTTAAAGAACAATCTATGCTGATCACTAAACAGACTAAATGGATGAGGTGGTCGCTCACCTACATGTTTAAATGTGTGTCATAACAGACTAAATGGATGAGGTGGTCGCTCACCTACATGTTTAAATGTGTGTCATAACAGACTAAATGGATGAGGTGGTCGCTCACCTACATGTTTAAATGTGTGTCATAACAGACTAAATGGATGTGGTGGTCGCTCACCTACATGTTTAAATGTGTGTCATAACAGACTAAATGGATGAGGTGGTCGCTCACCTACATGTTTAAATGTGTGTCATCATGCGTTGATGGAATGAGTTGTTGCTCGAAATAATAATCACGGATTTGTCTGGTCCAGGCTTCTGTAATATTGCAGAGAGTAACGTTAAAAAATACACCTGAGGGCTCAAATGTGTCTGGACATCCATTCACTGGTATCTGTAAAGCTGAGAGGATAGCTTGAGCTGTGCAGAAGATTTCACCAACATTCATACATGTTGATACAACAGCCATGTCTTTGATTCCGAGAGAATAGAATTTCTCAGATCTGATCAAAGAGATTGGGTCCATACTGCACTTGACCATAGGGAACAAACACTGGGTCGATGGCTGTCTCCACTAGGCTCTGTACTAGACCAGACAACAGCTTCCTGAAATATACCAACATGTATATATCCTACACTTGGCACTAGGTCAGACAACATCTTCCAATGTACACTCGAAAGGAAATCGTGTAAATTGAGTACTTCTCCTAATTCACCAACTAGTCCACACATCCAGACTAACTAAAAACTCCACACCACCTATGTAACCAATCACCTGACCAGTTAATCAGTCTTATCACTTACTGTGCACAGGCAGGGGCCCCGTTCACTTCCAGCAGCCACACCTTGAGGTCACTGTCCACCATGAAATCAAAGCCCAGCAGCTGGAAGCTCCAGTAGTCCAGCCCTGTGGTGTTCAGTTTCTGTGCAGATATATCATATATATACCATAGAGTGGACATACACCTATCAACACTTATAATGACTAAATATCTCCAAGAATCAATGACAAAACAACTATTATTACTCATCAATGAAGAGAAATCAGTGCCTATAATGACTATTATCTTACTTCATGTAAAATACTTTAATTTCATTGGTCAATGACGGTTTAACAAGTTTCCGTGTCACCCTTCCAGGAGGGTGACAACTGGAAAAAATATTACTCACTGCCACGGTAACCGCCAAGCTCTCCGCCAAGAAGCTGAAGCGATAACAATCCTATGACGTCATAATATGACGCATGCCGTGCCGTGCCCTCGGTAAAATAGGGTCTGTCATGCCGTGCCCTCGGGCAATACGGTCTGATATAGATTAGACCGTATTATCCTCGAGAGAAGCATACAACTTATATAAATCTATCCAAGAATCAATGATAATGGAACTACTCAGCTGTGATTAAATCTTTTACTAACAATACTAAGAGTTGTTTCATAAATATTTAGAGCAAATGCTTCGAAGACTCGAACAGTCAGGAGTCTACAGAAATCTGGCAGCTCATTCCATCAAACAGTTCCAGAGTTGTTGAATGCTTCACAATGATGCCTCACACTTCTGGCCAGAAGTACTTTCAATACAGCCTCTATACCATATTTCTGAAAGTGGTTTAGTTAACAGTGTAAATATGTTTCATGTATCTGGTACTCACACTCTGGACAATACCCAGACAGGTCTTCACGATGGAGCGAATCTGTGGCAAGATGGCAGTGTCAAGGCCAACTCCATATTTGTCCTGGAGGAAGCTAAGATACGACATGCTTCAATACTTTGTCAGAGACTAATACGTTTACCAAAAAATATACTGAGTCAAAAAAGAAACTTCACATTCTTTCTTCGGGGCACTATGAAAGAACAAGAAATGGTAAGATGGTTAAATTGTTATTATTTCATTGCTGAGATCTGTGTGATATACTCGATACACTGACAGTGCCATAATCAGTTCCATTAGGCTACACCGCCGTTCCAAAACATGGGTATACAGAATGTCAAGTCACAAGAATAAAAATGCGAAATTTCTCAGTTCAATATCGTATGGTCGCCCAGCGTATTCACCACTGCCAAACACTGTCTCCTCATCGACTGCCTGATGCTTGTGAACCGTGGTTGGGGATTCTGGCGCCATTGCTCTTGCAAGGCAGCCAAAGTTCCTGCAAATTCTGAGGTTGGTTCCTAAGACCACGTAGCCTTCTCCCAAGTGCATCCCAAACATGCTCTATTGGATTAAGGTCAGGGGACCTCGATGGCCAGTCCATGGCGTTGATTCCAGCGTTTTGAAGGAAATTTCGTGTCAACATCGCGGTATGCGGCCGAGCATTATTATGCTGGAACTGCAGACCTGGGCCATGAGCCGCCATGAAAGGAACGAGTTCAGGGGTGAGCACCTGGTCGCGGTAAGCAGCAGCTGTGAGGTTTCCATGGATGACCAGAAGTCGAGAACGGTTGTTCCCACAGAAAGCACCCCACACCATGCAACTTCCACCCCGAATCTGTCGACTTCCTGTACACAACATTGGGCATACCGTTCTCAGCGTCGCCGCTCCAGACTCTATGCCTGCCGTCCGCGAATCTGAGGGTAAACCTGGATTCATCGCTAAAGACTACTTCGATTCCAGTCTCTCTGGGTCCATCGGAGGTGGCGTTGGGCCCACAGCAGACGTTGACGTTGATGAAACGGCGTCAATATTGGCCCACGATATGGGCGTCGAGAATGGAGATTGGCAGCCCGCAACCGATTTCAAATGGTCTGTGAGGACAGTCGACCTCTAAACATCTCAGCCCTGGTTCGTGTAGCCGGCAGAAATCTGTCACGTAGGTGGCGTAGGGCCGATTTGATCGTCTTCTGCTCGTGGCGCCACACGCGTGGGCCTCGACCTTGCGTTAGGCGATCAGAAGTGGTGCCAGTTTGTTGTAGAGCGACCTGCAAGTCATCATACACAGTACGGCGGCTGCATCCCATTGCTCTTGCGGCGTCAATAACTGATCTTCCCGCTTGCAACATGCCAACGGCACGTTCACGCTGCACATTTGACAATCGTGGCATTTCAAGTACCATTAGAACTGTGGTTTAAAAGTGTTTTTCAATTCTTGAGGCCAATGCAAACATCGCGTGCATATAAAGAAAACTTCGATGCGAAGATCACGTGATCGACTGCACGTGCAAAACCTGATTTGGCACTAACGTCATTTGCACGACGAATGGATGGGTTTGAGTGGGTTTTGCTAACGTTTTTCTAGAGTCGAAAGGTAGGGATCCCATTTCGGATACATAGATGTATCATCAGAGAAAAATTATTCATTATTTTTCAAATTACATTTTGTGAAGTTTCTTTTTTGACTCAGTATATTTTTCTTTTGTGCATGTTGTGTCCCTTTGCCATGCAGAGATCAATCGATAATGGGTTTGCACCCAAAAGTAGTCCTGATGATTCTCCTTACACGTAGTCAGTCAGCACCACAGTTATCAGTTTTATTGAAGTTATGGTTTATTTCATTAGGCCAGACCAATTTTATTTCTTGTTCTACAGATTTTTGTCCTCAGAAAACCTAAAGGCAGGGGGAAAAAATAATAAAATAAAATATCACCAGTCAAAGTAATATTCCTTTTAAATACTAAAAGTGTTCTACTTTTGGCAATGTATTAAGTGTATAGGGGCCAAAAAACAATCAAATCAATTTTTTTTTTGTAAGCTTACATGTTTGGCAAATAAAAACATCAGGATTTTATTTTTTGAGTAGGGAAATTTTATATATTTTTTTTCTTACTCTTGAGAAAATACGACCGGAGGATCCATAAGGCAAGAAAAAAATTGGTCTGGCCTTATGGTGAAATACTGAGACAACCTAACTATTTGAACTATCTTACAAACTGTTCAAAGCAGCATTATTACCCACTCACAACATACCTGTCAAACTCGTCATAAAACATTTCATTGCCAACTTCATATTTGCCAAAGTTTTCTGACAACTCCTGCTGAAGAGCATGATTGGTGAGGTGAGCTGTGAGATGGTCCAGTCTGTCAGGCTCGTACTCCTCCGACGCCGTGCGAAGAACTCCTTCTCTGTACAGGTAGATGGTGTATGTGGCATCAATCAGCACCCAGCACCTGCAGCAACAAGCATGATACAGTAATCACCATAATCTGCATGTGGCACCAAGCTCTGATGTTGATATAACGGTAATGTGGCTGTCTCTCCATGAAGGTTCATATTCCAACTACGGTAACACCCATAGTTTCCAATTTCCCCAAACCATTTGTCATATCTGTTTGGCTGATATGTGAGCAAACGGTTTGGTTCAATGTTACTTTAAACAATATTTCAATTATTGGGGACAAATACAAAAATCAGCAAGTCTAGTACCAGTACCCAAATTGATAATAGACGATCAAGGAACCCCATCCCCATCACCAGATCTACACACCCCTAGAGCTTTATCTGAGGGTATTTTCCAGGTTAGAATTGGTCCTTTACTTTATGCCAACCTGATGTCAAACTTGCGTCCACCAGACAATAGTAATGGTGAGTCAATGTACTGTTGTATAACGTAGGCTTTCTTCTGACTGTCCACCATCTGGACCAGGCTCCCTACATCACTGGAGATCTGGATACCATCTCCTGGAACAGACTGACACATGATAGAGATGGGTTTGAGCAGTATTTCAATGACTTCACAGCATAATTAAGCATAAATGAAAAGCACAATGTGTTCAGGGGCGTAGCTACCATTATAAAAAAAGCCCAAGCTTACACATGATTGTTGCTAAAAAGGTTGGGCAAGCCCTCAATACTATTTAAATATAAAGCTTTGCAACCTATCGGGCTTACATGAAAAAAATGGCTTGCATCTTGGCAGGCCATCGAACTATTGTAAAAGTGGGAGCCCACAAGGAAATGTACCGTAAACTACAGCTGTAACAAACTCAAAGGGACCACAAACTATAGTTTGTTGTACACTTTTCAACTAAATAAATTATACAGCAAGAGCCCAGAAGAAGAAAACAGTTTGTTTTATCTGTTTGTTTATCATAAACATTTGTTGTAAACTAGTTTTGTGTGGCAACATGGACCAAACAGAGGTGTTGGTTGGTATTGTTCAATACTGTGTTTTAATCGTTTAGCACAGATGGTGTATTTTGGTCTCAAGATAGTTCCAATATTTCTAGTATTTGGAGGTCAAGATAGCAACAGCAGCAATACAGGCACATGGAAACAACTGATTTATCTAAACATGTAAAAATATGAATTTCTTGATAACTGCTTCCAGCTGTGATAACACTGTTAAAATCCTTTTGTAAAAAATAAAACAATGGGCCAGATGAATTACCTGAAACACAAGTAGGAATTTTGCAGCGTATTGCACTTTATAGCTAAAATACATGGAATTATCATGAAACGGCCCTCCCATTATCAGAAATTTGCGGTCCGCTGCAAATGATATTGGACCGCTCAACCTTAACGACGGGCCACTATCAGTTCTGTTGTCAAGTGACGTCATAGTTCGACATTAATTTGCTTTCGACTGGCAGATATTCTGGGTCAAACAAGTCAAAGCAACCCAAATTCCCGCTTCAAATAGCAGTAGCATTGGCTTTCTTGTTGGTGCTAACCTTAACAATTGCACTATTAAGACTGTTGATGGACCAAAACCGAACACTGTCATAGTTTGACATGTTGCAGGCTATGGTCTTGTCAAAGGCCAAGGTCGAATATCGTCACTTTCTGTTGTGGCGTCACTTGAATTGTTCGATGACGTAATTGCATTCGGGCAGTCAAGCCCGTCAGAAGTTGATTTTGGTAAACTTACAGTCAAATTCCTTCATTGTTTCCCTTTTCTTTTCAACACAAATTCCATGTATTTTAGCAATAATACTCGGTAATGCTATTTTTGAGGGCATTATCATTTGCAGAAGCCCTCGGTCAATTTCAACTGCCCTCCTTCGTCGGGCAGTTAATGGAAGACCTCGGGCTTCTGCAAATGATAATGCCCTCAAAAATAGCATTACCCTTATAATGTTCAGTTTGATCACTGTATAAGAATCCTACAAGATTTAACATAACCTTTAGCCCCATTTGAGCTCTTTGCAATCCATATGACATGTGGGGCCCTCTCGGCACATTTCTTCAGTTGGTCCCGCTCGTCACTCCGTGATCGTCTCTGGCGTACAAGTTTCTCCTCACCAATGACCACCACTTCCTGATCACATGGTGGGTAGATGACAAATGATGTTGGCATCCACTCAAACATCCGTAGTTTCTGCTCTTCACAGTAGTCTTTAAGCGTTCTGGTGAATCAATAAGGACCACTAAACACAAATAACAGGTCGTTTTATGTCTTAGTCAGCAATATTCCAGCCACATTACAGCAAACCATAAATTATTAACTGAGGACATAATTAACAACCCACACTGTCCACATCCCTTAATCCATACAAGACACCAAATGCAGGTTGCCAAAATATAGATTTACTATCGGCATAGGGATGACAGATTAAAGTTTAAAGACACATGTTAATAATAAACATTTATATATCACAATAATATTTTAGGGCATCAGTTATAAACAAAACCATGCACAGCTCCAAAAATAAATTTGGAGACTACAAAATCTTATATGCAGATTATAAGCCTGTCCATTTTAAACAAAACAAATATCCCTGACCTCTGCTTAAAAAATGAAATCAAATGTGAAAGGAGTTAGTTGGTTTTTTATCAAACAACACTTTTTGTTATCTAATGATCATGATGATAATTACAGTATTATGTGAAGACGATGATGTAACCTCAATACTTTACCTGACCAAAGATGCTTTTCTGCAGATGACATCAGAGCCTCGATAATAGTTCACCACTTGAGTCAAACCTCGAATCTGACCTGTTGTGAACCAAGATATCTGGTCACTCATTTCATCATATTCAATTTATCTATCCTGTACTTAACGCCCAACGGCAAAAACCTACATGACAGAATGACATCAAATTTTAACATTTGGTGAACCAAAAGGTATTTGTTACAATGAACAATAAACTTATGAGAAACTGCTCCACAAGGTAATCACTAGCATGACAGAATGACATCAAATTTTAACATTTGCTGAACCAAAAGGTATTTGTTACAATGAACAATAAACTTATGAGAAACTGCTCCACAAGGTAATCACTTGCACACCCCAAAGAGTGTTCCAAATGTACTACATAAACGAAAATCCTGTATCCGCCCCTGACTAGAAATATCATTAAAGGATTGAAGAAGGATTCATAACCAGTGATATTCTTATGTACAATCACAACAATTGTCTGCAAGTTCCATGGTTTATATCCACAACTTCAAATTGATCTATAGAAAAGGTATATGTAATTAAGATGTATCTATTGCTTTTAGCATTTATTAAACCAATTAACTTGTAAGTGATTTTTATGAGCTAACAAACTTGCTTTATTTATTGCAATTTCTCATTACTATGTTAAGAAACTGATTTTTACACCTTTCTTATACATACAGATGAAGCTTAAAATCTGCTAATTCATGGCAAGTAAAATATTGCTATCTGAGCCAGACAAGCAGGGAAATGATCCACAATTATGTCACATCTGCTCTGCACAAATAAGCAAACATGGGGCATTGAAGAAATAAACCAGGCTTTTTATAAGATAATTTATTATCTTCTGTATACTATATATGTTTTGCTTATTTGAAGTAAAATTCTAACCCTCGATATACACTGGTAATGCATTATAAAAGGTCATGCACTTGCATGTTTCTCATCACCAGTTGACTTGAAAATTCAAACTCTCTGCATATTTAATTTGATTTATCTTTACAAAATATATTGCTGGAAAAATGTCTTTAATTAATACGTTCAAAGAATGCTTACCACATACATAACTATAGATACTTTACATAATTGCTTTCATTTATCATAAAATTATTAACTTCGTTTGGAGTTGTATGGAAACAAAAGAATAACAGTAACTCAGTACTGGCTACCGTAAGTATTTTCTACAAAACAATTTCATTTGTACTTTGAACGAAAATTATGAAATACGTTACCTACCCTTTCTATATCTTATTCAACTATACGTGATTTTGATTAGCATCTATCTGATCCACCTTTGTAATAGAGATGTTTACAATAGAGGTCCTAAACAATTACCAAGTTTGCTGTAGGGTAACTTGTTTCTGTCACCCAACATCAAATTGAACCTGGTCGAATCCTTCGGCACTTTCTTCCATGATTTATCTTCCCTTGTTTGCAGGTATTTTGCCACAGCTGTGTATACGCTGCTTCCGGCATCACGTTGTACAAACAGGTATGAAAGGTCTGCCATTTAGGAGCGACTACATACTGGAACTGTCACTGATCACTGAACAGTTAAATACTACCTTATATCTACACATTACGTGTATGCTGCAAGTGCGTGCTTAGAAACCAAGGAAGATAACTCTCTGGATAAGAATTGCATACCACTTAAAAATATCCGTAAAATATTTCTTTTCGTTTTCCAATCTTAAAATAATGTTTATATACTTCCGGCAGTGCACGTTTTTAGTTCTGAGCATTTTTTTGGTAAGAGTTCCTTACGTACCCCCCACCCAATTTTTAACTATAAACTATAGTGTTTGGTCCTCACAAAAATAGACTGGTGGTACGTAAGGACGTTTCCTTTTTCTTGAGTTTGCCCATTTTATAGGTGCATGATTAATCCAAACTTGATTCCACTGCCCAAAACGAAAACTGCTGGTTGTTTTAGATACGACTGTTGTGTGGTAGGAGTAATATTAAAGAGGATAAAGTCTAGTGCTGGCTAAAACGATCGATAATCAGAAAATGGATCTTTCAGAAATGATTTTCAATATGAAAATAGTGGCATAGATATCATACATCAACTTTTGTGATGAAAACGTGTTAATTTACTCACACGGTACACGAAGTTAGGTCTTTATTCATAGGCTGCTTCTAAATTAATGTTCTGGAAGCTGTTTTTTTGCATAAATATGAAACCATTCACTCAGAAATGTTGGCTCCTTTCAGACATGTTTGGCATTTTTGCACTCCCCTTCTCCAATATTTAGCAAACGGTTATCGATCTCCATCAATAGCCAGCCCCAAAATATCCCATTTCACATTTCTTCAAATAATCTTTTACTTCAAAACTCTCACACAAGTTTGAAGTGATCTTTGATTTGAAAGAACTAAAACAAACACAAACGTTTTTTAAAATAAAAATCTATTTTTATTTTCTAAAGATGTTTGTAACTTGATTCATAACACATGTATGATTATCCAGTATGCATAACATACACATTACAATATGCCATGATGATACACAATAGTAACTGTATACATGATTATTGGTGTATATGTCCACTGTCCGCTGTACACACCAAATGCAAATTGAAAGCAGAATGATCAACCTGTAAAATCCTTTCCAGTAATCATGAAGCATACTCCTCTACAAAATCTGATCATTTTCTTGATAGTACATATTAGCACATGTGAAAAGTTTCCACCTGGCCTAGATGCGTAATATATTGAAATACTTCCTTGGAAAATAAGCAGATTGGTTTTAACACTACAACAGTGGTGTCCAGATGATCAGACAGTTTATTCCTGCCATGATAATAATCAAACAAGGAACAAGTAACAATTAACCACGATAAATGGATATCTTGGTCTGTTTCTATACTAGGGAGCATCATGTCCCTAGGCAACCTGTAACTAACTGACTGACTGAGTTTGGTTTTACGCCGCTTTTAGCAATATTCCAGCAACATCACGGCGGGGGACACCAGAAATGGGCTTCACACATTGTACCCACGTGGGGATTCGAACCTGGGTCTTCGGCATGACGAGCCAACGCTTTAACCACTAGGCTACCCCACCGCCCCGCAATCTGTAACTGGTCTGTACAGCGGACAGTGGTGGTTGATGTAATACTGATGTACATGATAGTAGTCATGGTAATGCTGAGTGTCGGCATGGTCTGGATAATAACATGGCAGCAGCAAAAGAGCAAGGCATGCAGATGGTTTCATCAGCGGGAATGATTCCTCCAGCAAAAACAGCTGATCTTAAACACTTGCCCTACAGACATTCAAGTTATCACAATCAAAATTATTATTTCATGATCAAAATTGGCTATATTTTAAAAAACAAATGGTTGTTTTGATATAGCTTGGAATGTGTGGGGCAACGAAGATCTGGCTTGATTTTCTGGGATTGGAATGCTCAAGGCACTAGTTGGGACGATTTGTGACGTCAACAAATAGAATGCAGATGAGGCAGTGTCTGAAATTAAGGGGGGGTCCATGTGAATTTGGAACATAGTATTAAGATATGTTTTGCATGAAGACAATGATAAGGACCGCTTTGACTTCCCTAATTTAAAACACTGTACAGAGATAATCTTGAAAACAGTGAACATACATATACCACAGAACATTTTTCTTTTCCAGACATCTGTTACTGAAAAAGCATTTGCAGCAGGCAGAGGCATATGTTTTAGTATAGAATGTTTGCGTTCACATCAGAATGATCATAAAAAGCATGAGAATGATGGTTTATCTGGAGCACAATTGTTCTTAGCCATAAATCTGTGGCAAGATTTCGTGTTTACATTGAGATGTTAAAACCTAAGACTATTTTGGCATGGTGACAACACTGATTCTAAGACAAAGTTACTGATGAAACATTCCATATTTTAAATATCAAATATATACATTTAAAAGTAGCAGTGTTCCATCAAAATGGAGAGTTAACAAGCACAAATGACAAGTCTAAAAAAGGTCAATTCAGAAATTTAACTAAAAATTCAATTAGAAAGGCGTTTCAAACATTATACCCAATACGTGTAAGATAATTTAAATAACCACGCCATCCAGAGCAGAACCTATATTTAAAAACAGGAACAAACACATTACGCACACTATACATGAAATATGTACAAATAATATAACTATTTACATGGATTGCATCGATGGAGGTATGCAGCATGAATTATCAAACAGATGTTGCCATTATTTTAACAAATGGTAATGAAATTATGAACTATTTTAATGTTCTTACTCCCTTGAAATGAACAGTTGAGCAAAAGCAGCTGAAACAATATTCATGTTTCATTGAAAAAAAGAAGCGAATGTTGTTATTCCTCGAACAATGCATTTCATATGATCCTTAACTGTGAATAACTTATGCCATGACATTAATTACCACTACATACTGGCAGTGATATGATAAGTTATTGCAACATCACCAGGATTGTCAATGGTTTAATGATGTGATTAACAGTTGCAGACAAAATGTCAATTACAGCAGGGATGTTAAAATCTTAATCAAGACATCCAAAATCCATTAACAACTAGCACTCACTGGCTCAATATAAAATTTCATTATGGCAAATAAGCTCTAAATCATCAATCTTCAAGTAAGTTAACATGATTCAAGCTAAAAATCAAGTTTACAGTATATGGAATCTTCTTTTTAAAAACATTTATAAAATATTTAAAAATAGTGCTGCCATTAAAATATATTATGATCCCCACATCCTTTGATTTTCCTCCCTGTTAAGCTGCAAATACATGTAGTTTTAAAAGAAATATTAAGTATGACAGTGCTGCATCCGGGAATTGCCAACGTAAGTACTGAGCAGAATTCTCACTAAATGATCTTATGTATGCAGGCTTTCATCAAAATTGTCTACCTTTTATTCAAATGATCTGAGATTTACTGTACTAATGTATCATGTCACAACTCTGCTATTATATTTGTGTTTGTTTTGACAGTATGAAAAGAAGAGACAATACGTCCAACATGCTTAGTATCTATTAAATTTTCTGTCCAAATCTAACTCCTCTAATAATTCTTTTCTTATTTCCACATGTTAATTTAGGAGGCCATTCATCCCTGGATGCAGCACTACTTTGAAGTTAAGTATGAGCATTATCAGCAAGTGAAAACTGGCTCAGTAGACATATGGAATGATTCGGTAGGGGACCCGTTCACAGTAGCGGTTCCAGCTTGAGCCGTACTTCTTCTGGCACTGTGCCCCGTCCCGTCGTTCACGATGTACCAAAAGGACCGCAAAGTACACCGGGTAGAAGTAAGGGATGAGGGTCAGACCTGGCGAATTGATGAACATAACGTGAAGTTAGGTGCATACAGTGTTTAGAATTCAAGTAAATTAGACTAGAAAGTCTAAAAACTTCTGTGATTTAAGTTTTGTAATTCCAGATTTTTATCTATACAAAAAACTATTCAGAGTCCAAAAGTGACCAAGATTTCTTTCTTATACTATATGCCAAAAGTCTGAAGAGGCATGTAGCTTAAAATATTGAAAATAACCATGAAGCTCTGAAAACTTGCATCTTAATTTATTCGATTTAAGTGAATGAATGATGAAAGTTCCCTCCCTTCAGGCAAGGATATCAACATTGTGCCTGATTTGAAACAGGTTTCTGGCCGTGTGCCTATAAGTACCAGATTTTTAACATGGAACTCACCACAAGGCAGGGACCAGGCCAGAGCCATCATCAGGTCTCCGAGGTAGTTCGGCTTTCTGCACATCCCCCACAGACCTCCAACCAGCAAACGCTTCCCTGATGACGTGGGAATGGATTCCAAATCTGAAGTGCCAACATTTGTTATCATGGTCAAAACCTGTATTTTGTTTGAATGTGATTATAGGATACTTTGACAATTTCATACCCTTTGTTAAATGTCAGTGTTGGTCTGAGGTTTTTAGAAGCTGAAAATGATTAAATGTTCCAAAGACAGAATTGTCTATCAGTTATGTTCATCAACTTTAGAATTGTTGTGTACTGAACAATAGAGATGCTGAGGGTTTTTTTACACTGTATTCTGTAGTAATAAGGAAATATCAAATATGATTCACTTATCAAGTAATCATAGTGACAAATATTTATATCAAAGCTGTTATTTGATGGAAAGACCTATTTTTTTTCTCTTGGGGATGATTAGCAAAACAAACCTGCAAGACTTGGGTGGAATGGGTTTTTCCTAAAATCATTCTTCTGAGAGTTAGCTCGCCTGAAGATCATGTAACCGAACACTGTAAGAAGAGAGAAACAAAAGCTGATAAACTATATCCTTACATCAATCTTATTAACACTAATATTGGTGACATGTTGTTAGGCTATTCATCAATAAACAACATTAACAACTTCCTTCACAGAGTGAATGACCACATACAACTAAAAAGCTGTTTTCACAGACACCACTTTGATGACTTAAAAGTTTCAGCTAAACAGTTCTATCTATTGTTCAAATAACAAAGAATGAACAGATTGTTGGCATAAATACTTCATTCATTCTACAATTATCCATGAATCTTTCACTGGAAGTAAGATCCTTTAGCTGTTGGATCATCATTCTAACAACTAGATCTCTGACTTGACTTTTTGCGTAACAGGATTAAGTGTGCAAGGATTTTCATAGGTAAATCATGAACAGTGGAATCCCTCTAAACCGGCATTTGGTGGGACCGGCAAGAAATGCCGGTATAGAGGGCAAGTAAATGATCATAAATTAACTAACTTCTGCCTTGGATCAAATTCTAGTGCCAATATTGAAAGCATGCCAGATTGGAGGGCTGTCGGTTTAGAGGGCTTCGACTGTATAGCAAGAGAACTGTTTATGACATCTTCCTGAATCAGTACCTCGGGTATGTCCTAGAATCTAAACCAATCTGACACCTTTGTGCATCTCTTTATTCTCACCATTGAGAAGAGCAATCCCAGCTAGCGAGTACCAGGCTAGTTTGGGGTCATTGTCCAGGAGAAATCGGGGCTGGAGACAGTAGAGGAAGGGAACCCAGGCCAGGTCTCCGAACGCCAACATGAAGCCGAACCCATCATGGATGATGTCCATTGTGGTCAGGATGGCATCCTGTACATGAGAGATGGATCATTGTTAGAAGTAGAAATTGGAATCTAGTTCAGAGACATGGAAGTTTTGGAACATGGTTAGATGAAGTAACTGAAGATGTTAATTGTGTTTTAATTCTTTTAATAAAACAGACAAGCCGAGAGAATGTAAAGGTCAACAACATTCTTGCTTCAACAAAGTCCAGAAAATAGACTGACCCATAATCATAAATGGTTGACTACCCTTTCCTATGAGAGTTATGACACTTGGCCATGAATGCAATAAATGAGATCACACACTGCCATCACCTGATCCTAATTTTCTTTGACTCTTACAGGATATGGGAAGCTATTCCAACCTGGTGTCAAGAAAATGACTGTTTCTTACCTCAAACCAGAGAGCATCACCAACGTAGAGTGTCTGGAAAGCCACCACTAGTGTCAGTGCAGGGGGGAAGGCACCAGTGTCCTGGTAAGCCTTCAGCACGAAGACAAAGTTGAGAATCACCCAGCCAATCAGGCCTGGTCTCAGCTCACAGAAGAACTTCAGGTCGAAGCTGCCAATTCTAGGGTTCAGTTCATGACCAATGAAGAAGTCATAAAGTGCATTTCCTGAAAGACAGAAGTTTGGTAAAAACTGAAAATAAAATAAAAGTACAGCTGTTCCTGAACAAAACAAAAACACTATTTAAAAAAAGATGAGCACATTTGTTGACTTACACTTTTTCAATCTACACCAGAAATGAAATCCACAGGACCCAAGTTACCTTTTGGATTACTCAAGCATGTTTTGAAACAAAAGTCATTTCAATAAATATTGATGCATATTTTTTTTCTTCTTCAGCTGTTATCAAAAGGAAACAAGAATTGCAACTGCTGTTAATCTCATATTTTGCAGCATTCTATAATCTTCAAAACAGAGAAACACAATGCTATTATTATTAGCATGTTATAACTAGCTTTTCGCTAAATACTACCTCATACTTTAGTGTATCAAGTAGAAACAAGTTCCAAAATCCATGGATCAAGGTTTGATATTTCCATCGAAACATTGTATAAGCATGACATAATTAGTTCAAGATAATTTTATCAGACTTTGTGTTATTTGTGTGGTGCTCTATGGCAGTGTAGGAAAGATAGCCCGTCCCAACGTCCGAGACGGGTGAATTTTGTGGAGGACGGGTTAAAAATATATCTAGTCCGTCCTCATGTCGGGTCAATTTTAGCAAACCAATGACATATATATAATGATTATAACCTTTTTGAATATTTACTGCCGAAGGTGTTTTATTTATATTTGGAGGACAGGCTAGATTTTGGCAGGACTGGTAAAAAATTTGACCTGCCAGTCCTGTGGACAGGCTAGATTTTCTACATCTTTCCTACACTGTCTATGGACTGGACTGTCACCACAACTGTGACTGGTGTATGAACATACCTGTATTTCCACCTGGTGCAAGCTGGCTTGCAGCTACAGCTCTCTCCTTGATGTACAGGAAGATGCTAAGAATGAAACTAAACAGGATGGCGGACGTCATGATGCGGTAGAACTTGGCATGAACCATTTTCACAAGTGGCACATTAAAGTACACACAGATACCAAATGCGATCACACTTGCCACAAAGGCAAAGAAACCTGAAAGACAAGACAATTGAGATCAATACCTATGGGGAGAGTATCATCTATCAAGGCCATTGTTTGACAACAGAATTGCTCTGGTTTGCTAAGTAACTGTCTTGTCCCTCAAGGTAGACATCCTGGTATTATTTGAATAAATCAAAAGCTACAGTACAGTACAGTACGGCAGGAAATGCCATCTATATGATAAATGTTATATACATGATCACAGAGAATTAAAGCAACATATTTATTGTATTTCTTTCCTTTTCTTAAGTTACATGTTTACTGATACTGTGTTTCAGGGAAACAGTATTTTGTTGCGGGAACATCTGAACATTTTCAAAGTCCGGGTTTAAGGCAATGGCACGTGAAATAGACCTTCAGTTTGATTATTCATTACATACCTTGTACCTACATATGATTTGTGGTTAAATGCGTTCATGTCACAAGCAGATAATAAACTAAAATCATACTAACGCAATGGATTTGTCTTTGAATATCATCTTTAAACAATATCAAATCATTGTCACGAAACAAAACCTGGAATATGGAGCCTACCGTTACATCTGTACTTGAGACGTTTCCCAGACTGTAATGGCTGCCCGTCCACAACTCGACCAATAGGAACCAAGGCTAGGACAGCCTGGAATGCTAGCCAACCAAAGAACAACAGCGTGGCCTCCATGTCAAACAGAATCCAGGGGTTCTTTGGCATCTTGGGAAGTTCTAGTATGGAGCACTTGGCCTACAACACATGTAATAGAAACCTGTAACCTGAGCCGCATCAACGTCAGCCAGTGCTCGATATCAGGCACAAAAGTAAAAGGTTCTTGTCATAGCCCTAATATTGAAAGTTGCAGATTGTAGTGGTCCCTAGATTTATATACCATAAAAGCAAACCTCAAGGACATGACAGCCTTGAATTACAATTCAGTATACATAACTAAAAGCAGAGGAACAGATCATTCCATCATTGACTGGAAAGGTTCGCCTTGAAACTTTAACCTCATAACAATTAATGTCCAAAACAGCATGAATGACTATGAATGGGCTTCAATACTTCTGAAAGAAGTGTCAAACTTAGACTGCGTACAGTCTGCTAAAATATCCACATATGTAAATCACTGAAGAGAATTATGACAAAATATTGAAATACCCAATTCATTGATAGAAATTGGATTTTACGACAATGCCCATGTACAAATCATTGTGGGAGACTCGGTTATTTATCTAGTTATTATCATCATGGACATTGTACATCTAGGACAGTCTGCTACTTCATTGTCAATTAAGAAGCATCATGCATTGATTTCTAGCATGCTCAGTCTATTAATACTAAAATCAGCTGAAAATAGTGTCAAGGCACAATATCAAGATAGTGAACTAATATGTTTTGGGCACAGGAGCCACTGAAACCTATTGTTAATACTGACCAAATAATATTGCAGTCTTACATGGAAGGTTACAAAAATATCTTCCATCTTTTCAATGAATGAAACAAAGACCCTGAACACAACAGTTTGACCTATTCTTTATTCTTACAACAGTTACAAACTGAACTTGAAACCTGACTTGACAAATTATGTGTACTTTGAACTGATTTGTATTTTGTTTTGTTTGTTATTTGATGCAGCATTCAGCAATATTCCAGGTATATTATGGTGGTCTGCAAACAATCAAGTCTGGACCAGAAAATCCAGTGATCAACAGCATGAGCATCAATCTATGCAATCGGGATACAATGACATGTGTCAACCAAGTCAGCGAGCCTGACCACCCGATGCCGTTAGTCGCCTCTATGACCAGCACAGGTTGCTGAAGACCAATTCTAACCCGGATCTTCCTTTACCTTAGTGCATGCCAAGTTGATGTAGTACATGACCAGTGGTAGGGACAGGGTGATGAAAAGGGCCCCTACAGGACCCCCAAACTCAGTTTCCCTCGTTTTGGGTGCAGGCTTTGCCTTTTCCTTCCTGTCAGCCATGTTGTTACGGACTTCAGTCTTTAACTGCTCAGCAGACCTCAAGGACACCTTTTTCTGGATTTGAAGAAACACAGTAAAATATATGTTCATAACCACCAGCAGAAAGACTTGAGTTGAGGAGCTGGTAAACAAAACTGGGATTAGCATACAGATGGAAAAGCAAAGGGGCTAATTAGTTGACTGCAAGGTTTAAGATTAGTTCCTTTGTTGTTATAATCCAAAACACATTAAAGAGATAACAAAATTTAATCTTGAATAATCCTGATAAAATTCCTACTGTCATCCATCTCTTGCAAAATCATTCAACTGGATTATTATTTGATTACTCCATGCCATTTAGAAAGTGGTCAAACGTAACATGTTATATATGGGATTACTTGGGTTATTTGTTCAAATGGGCTTGTTCAAATGTTATGTAACACATTTCAATACAAGGAGTGTGCATGTTTAAATCAAATTACAATCTTAAAATGAACTTTGGGACAATTTCCTTTAAATCCTTGACACGTGTAACAACTGAGACTTGCATCAAGTAAGGTTTCCTTCCGCACTGACGTGACCGCAGTTATACAACTGGAAAACTGTCCAAAGCAGCATATCAAATGCCACTCACTTACAAGAAAGTAACTTGGCCTACCTCGTGATCAACAATATCAGCAATCCGTGTTGACTGTCTGGTAGGAGTGACCACTATTTCCTTCTTTGACAACAGTTGTTCTTTCTCGTGTCCGTGATGCTCTAGACGGAGACTTGGACTGCGTCCTTGAGGGTGACTTGGACTTTGTCCTGGCGGGGGACTTGGATGCTGAGCCGGATGACTTTCCTGTGGATCTACCACGACTTCGGCTCCTGCTGCGGGATTTACTCCGGCTCTTTGAAGGAGGCGACTTAACCTGAACAGAGTGATCAGTTACTCAGTAATGCAATAAGACGAATTGTGATCTACCTTGTATTTTGAAAATATCGGTAACCATAGTTATATATAACCATATTAACCTTGATTCAAATCTACATGTAATGGGTCTTTTTGGTGTCAGAAATGGCTACATTTTCACCTATTACTGTTGCTAACTGGATGCTAATAAATATTGAAGTAACTATTATTTCAGAATCAAAAAGAAGCAACAAATCTATGAATCCTAATTGCATGATACCTTTCAAGTTTAACATCATATTCAGAAATCAATAACCAGTTACCATGTTACCATGGAGACCAGCAGCAATATATGGTGTAAAATACAAGCAGAGAAAAAACTAACAATGTGTCACTGTGTCAAAGTGTTCACATCTCCTGATACAAAATGCTGGACATGAATGAACCAAGACAGACACATTCTGTCAAACTAGCTTTACCCAACCTACATGCTTGGAATTTAATCCTATCCCATTTTGACTGAATAAGTAAATCTGTAAAACAAAGTATACTACTGACCTAAAGTAAAATCTTGGTCACCATCATGAAAAGTATTAAAATTGTCAGGTTACGAAACATCAATGAATGAAAAAGCACCTGCTCAGCTGATCAGACCACTCGTATGAGAAGCTACAAATAGACATGCCATACCACAGTAACCTCTAACCCCTGATATTTGCATTAGTATCAGCTGGGGGAAACTAGTGTACTATTTATAGATTTGTCCAGCCAAGTTATATCCTGTTTCAAGTTTCTATACAAAGCTACACTAACAATGAACTGTTGTTCTTTGGTGACCAGTTAATTTACTTCTTTGTTTAACAAGCACCATGCCTCCTGGTGAGAATAGCTTTCTTTCAATACACTTTGATATATTTCATGGTCTTGTGCATACACAAAAACTGGAGTACAATTGTACAATGTTCACTTGCACACTCCTTTCTTTCCTTGGATTCTTAATGTTTTCCTGTGGTAACACAATCTAGGGACCCCTAAATCTTGAACATTTATCAATACGGTTGTGACAAGGACCCTTGACATGTGTGCATAATTTGGACACTGGTGATTAATTTGCCTTGACCTGATAGGTTATAGACAAGTTTGATTCTCAGAGTATATCGCCTTTCTTCATAATGGGGGTGGTAGTGGTGGTCTCTAAAAGCTTCAAACCTTTTTTAAGTTTATACTAAGTTTACTGTTTGGCAGTAATGTTTAATCTCCAGGATGACAGTCTACAAATAATCATGTCTGACAAGACAATCCAGTGGTTGACATAATGAGCATCAAATACTTGACTGGGATGCGATGAAGAGTCAGCCAAGTCATCAAGCCTGACCGACAGATACTGCTTCTTTCAACAGGAGAGGGTGACTAAGACCAGTTCTAGCCCGGATCTTCTATGAAGAAATGAGTATTAATCCAAGACCCAGATTATCAATAAGATTAATGATGTGATAAATACAATAAGGTAAGGAAAGAATGTTTTGTTTATTCACGTGTGATTGTGACGCTATCCACTGATTGCAGTAGAGCTCTGTATGTTTTTGCCAATTTCTAAGGTTAAGAAAATTCTGTCTAATAACATTTTATGTCCCTAGACAATATATTATTCACACTTTGCTAAGGATCACAAAACTTAGCAACTTTCCTTAAACGTAGATTTATAATTTAAAATCGTATCCATTTAAAACTGGATAAATAATGATATGGTAACACATCTTTAGGAAAACAGCCACTTTAAGCTAACCGTATGCACTTGATACATGAATAACCATAAAAATGGTTTTCATGTCACCAATCAACCATTCTGAAAATCATGGCACGGGTCATTGATAAGCACACAACACCTGTCAATAGCAGGTTTGGGAACCACAAGATGCAGTTACATACTGAAAACTTTGATACATGCTTACAACAGACTTAGATATTTAAACCAAATTTGACCCCACATCATAGTTTTCTGTTGAATCAATGATTTGATCCTTAGCAAAGTGTGAATAGTATAAAAAGGCTTTGCATGCATGAAACGTATCCTCTTTAATTCTATGTTAAGGGCCTGGATCCTTGAATACTGAACATACTCAGCCAGTAAACGTTGACGTCTGGAGACTGCAGCTATTGACATCTTGAGAAACAGTCAAGGCAACTGGGATTCAATCAACTAAGTCAGCGAGCTTGTTCACTCATCTCTTACCCTGCTGGCTCTAACACACCCTGTGGTATTATGTAAACTTTACAAAGTGTTCATATTAAATAACTATTCATTGGACTCTAGCCAGAACGGAAATTTACTAAATCAAGTTAATAAAGTCTTGGTTATCAAAATACAATATTTACCATCTCTGCTTCAACAGTGTTCAGGCAGTAACTTCAGCAATATAAACCCTATGGCAGCATATTTACTTTCACTGTTTTCAAATATTGGAAATATGATATGGGGAACTCATATGGAATGCTGGACATTCAAGATGGAGTCATGGATACAAGCCTGTTTGTGACACTTGACATCTAAAAAAGGTCACCAAGTTGTCATCTTATCAGTTTACATGTAGTGGTCACTAACTCATATACATTCAGGTCAGAGGTTGACTAATCTTAGCTGGGCAGGGATTTATCTAGCATTCTTATCTAAGAACCTTTGTCAGGCAAACTAAGAAAAAAATCCTCATACTGTTCAAATTTGTTTTCAAAAAATAAATAATTTTGTTGTTGTAAATTCTGAGGATTTAGGAAGTCTTGTTTAAATTGGTAATTTTCACTGTCAATTGCTGAGGACATCACGCTGGATAATGGCCTCTGAGCAGGTCCTAATAAATAACCGCTGGGGTGGAAGATGAAATAATTTCATCGAAAATGTGTCTTTTTTCTTTGCTAAATAACTGAACTAAACATTTCACAAATACACACAAAAAATAAATACTTTTTGAGACAGACTGTGTTCTTCCCACAGAGTATGTTAGCTATTAATAATAACGACAAAAATTACTAGGTTGAACTAGAAGTACTTGAAGTAGGGAAGTAAATTCAAGTAACCCTTGAGTTTTCTTTACAAATAACGAACACATTTTCTCACCATTTTAGTTTTACTTGATGGACAGCATGGACATTTCTTTATGACGAATATGAGATTACTTTCCGAAACATTGTTCTTATTTTGTTTCAACCAGTGTGACCACCAACCAGTATTGGTTTTGAAAACACAATCCTTAAACCCGAATACTGAAAAAAGAGGCCCTGTGGTGGCTTGTAACCACTTAAAATTTCATCCCCTGCAGCTTGCTGTTAAAGGTATCCTAAGGGCCATTACAATATGTCATGTATCTTCAAAATAAGACTTTTATGAACATTACCTTGAACTTATCATCCCATTTCTCAGTAGACCCATTCATCTGACAATTTTCATCTCTTATTTCGAAAGATTTAGCAACAAAAGCCCTTGTCAATGGAGAATGGCAGGTATTTGCCTTCCATGCTCTCATACAATGAGGATTTCAAATTATCCACGTTTCACCATTCAACTGTACACCCCAGTGCACATTTACCTTGAAACGGGTCAAATTCACAAAAACCATGTCACTAGTTGGTGATACGGAATCTAACATACACTGAATACCTAACAGCAGTCTACAAAAACTGAATAAAGGATATAAAAACACAGCTGTTAACTTATACAATTTAGAAATTAATACAGTTTAGATAAAAAGAATACTACATCCCTGAAAATCTTCAGCTTAGAAAAATAATACAATAGAAAGAAAACAAATTTGCAACTTCTAAACAAAACATAACTAATGTAAACTAATGGACAGAAAAAAACACTTTACAATCAGCCTCCACATAAATCCACTTGTCACTTACTATGGAAAAAGAAATACTAAGAAAAGACTTCACAAGACTTTCCATGTCTTAATGATATGGATAATTCTGGTACAATAAGCAACTGTAGAAAATAGTAAAGGCACATGTCGTTATTATTTAATGTTGGGTGACCATTAGTATGGTTGTTCAGGACAACTCGACGAGATTACATTATCATGATTACTGGCATATACACGTCTAAACCAAGCTGTTTACATTTTAGTGAGGTTTTTTTACATTTTAAAGACCAATTTAAAAAAACACTATTCTGACAGCATATGTAAGAAAATGTCCTCTTTTGAAATTACAACTACCCAGGTCATGCTAATATAGTAATGGTACAGACTTATCAGGGTGCAATTTCACTATTTACAACCTGCACTGGTGCATGTTAACAATGGCTGGGTAGGCCAGACCAATTTTATTTTTTGTTTTACAGATATTTGTCCTCAGAAAACCTAAAGGCAGGAGGGGAAACAAAATCACCAGTCAAAGTAATATTCCTTCTAAATACTCAAAGTATTTTACTTCTGGCAATTTTGTATTATATATTTATATGGAGCAAAAAACAATCTAAAAAAATTTTTCTTGTAAGTATACATTTTGGCCAATAAAAACATTAGGATTTTATTTTTTGAGCAGGGAAAATTAAACTTTTTTAAATAATTTTTTGTCTTATTCTTGAAAAAATATGACAGGCGGATCCGTAAAACAAGAAATAAAATTGGTCTGGCCTTATCTTCAGTAACAATTTGCATCCACTGCTGGTAACACTAAATCCTCCAACATCTTATAGTTGTCATTGTGTGTTTTAATTGGGAAGTTAGTGACTGAAGTAATGCGATCTTTCCATGAGACTTGTTACAAGCAGAAACATTTGTGTACTCATAAATCAGTTATGTAGCTATTATCATATAATTGAGATTCGAAAATAATTATTTATTATTTATCATCATGGGGTTTGGTTCTGTTGAATGTATCTGATACCAAGTACTTGTTATGAAAATTGCTAAACAGGTATTTATCTTACTTTTTAGAACCAGAGACATTATTTTAAGGTGCAACCAAAATTTTGATGGTGCAGCCAAACCTAGAAGCATGTTTTTACATGACACATGATTCCTGCGTATTTGACGCAACAATTTTGTAAACGACTCTCAAAATACTATCATACGAGTCAAGCTTGACGCAAGTTTTATGGGTGGCCCTCACAAGTCAGTTCAATAAAATTGATTGTATAAGCAAGAAATGATATTGTTCGATGAAAGTTTGACTTTTACAGAGCTGTCAGATTGTTCCAGAGAACTCATAGGAGATAGTAATCCTGGCTGTTTGAATTGAATAATGCTGTAGTTTCATTTGGTGGTGTGACATAGACAGTTACATACTGAGAATGATTAACACAAAGAAATATTAAAATTTTCATGACTCTCAAATATTGAAAAATGACTCCTAAATAAAAATATTCTGAGTCACCATGACTCCCAGTTTTAAAAGTCTGCGTAAAACCCTGTATAAGCCAGGGTGCACTTAGGTACTGAAAAAAAATAACAACCCCGAAATCGCACCTTGCTTACATATAACAGATAATAACATGACCAGAGTGAGAAGGCTTAAACGTTCATTAACATGATCAGCCTGTGCCAAAAACTTCATAGTCTACTTGCCAGAACATGGCCCTTGCATAGGCGCTTGACTCTGATATGTTTATAAGTATGACCTATATATATAAGATATAAGAAAGGTGTGACAGTAAATCGAAACAAAATGGCGGCCAGGCTCGGCTCGGCTGGGTTTCGGTCTGACAAACGCTTCCATCGCTTTGACCGTTGAAGAAACTGCACAATTTATGCTCAGTTGACCTCTGTAAAGTACCTTGCGTATCACAAACCTGGTGATTTTATTCTCATTTAAAGCTTTCAATAATTTTGTCGTCCATTTCATCGCACAAAGTCAGGACATATGCCCGGAAGTAAACAAATCTCAGGCTACAGATATGCACCGAATAGCAGAGCGAGTCTCTGACTGGATAATATAGTTGCACGTTAAAAGAGGTGGGAATAATAGAGGGTGCTATCCAATCAGAGACTCGCTCTGCTATTCGGTGCATATCTGTAGCCTGAGATTTGTTTACTTCCGGGCATATGTCCTGACTTTGTGCGAGAATGGACGACAAAATTATTGAAAGCTTTAAATGAGAATAAAATCACCAGGTTTGTGATACGCAAGGTACTTTACAGAGGTCAACTGAGCATAAATTGTGCAGTTTCTTCAACGGTCAAAGCGATGGAAGCGTTTGTCAGACCGAAACCCAGCCGAGCCGAGCCTGGCCGCCATTTTGTTTCGATTTACTGTCACACCTTTCTTATATCTTATATATATAGGTCATACTTATAAACATATCAGAGTCAAGCGCCTATGGGCCCTTGTCACCATTTCGATTAGATTCTCAAGTTACATATGGAATATATTTATCACCAGAGCTCAGAAATTTGAACACAATTTTACTAGACTCAGTCACTTAGGCTTAGAATTAGTGAAACAAAATTTGCAGACCTGTCTCGTGTTCATAAAAATAATAATGTTTTGACAATACCACTAAATTTACAAAAAAGGGAACAATAAAAAATACTAAAACCAAAAAGATATAAAATAACACTTTTCTCTCCCAAGGTCAAGGTCAAGGTCAATAAATTTAGAATTCTAACTAATTCATGTCTTGGTTAAGGTATTACCATTCCAGTAGTCATCTCGTCTCACTTGCAATGTAGTTATAGCACAATACTACACAACAGCCAGTCCCTGCTGGCAGTAGGTGTAATCCAGCTGGGTAACAGGTTGTGGGGGTGTAGCACAATGTCTCCTCCACCAGCTTTCACCACCGATTACATCACAGATACTAGGCACTGACAATAGAGCTGTAAGTCCCTCTCTACATGTGTTAACTTGCTGACTGACCCTCATTACATAATGGTCGGGACAAATACACGACTGGTCCTTTCACTCAGCTTGCAAGGTGAGCCACTCAATTTCACCACACAGAACATGTCAGAAATACATGCATATGCACAATTACGACCAGGTTTTAACATGTTCAAAAGCTTTGCAAGCATGTAGCCCATCCCTAATGCTCAGATCATGGTTATCAAGGTTATGTCAATACATGAATGCACAATCATTTATATTTGCTATTTCAAAGTGAAGTTTGTTACCCCTATGGCAATCAGTATTCCCCCCCTTTCATTTTCTGATAACTTATCTTAGTCTAAAAGTAGGTAGTTTAACGGGTCTAAACAATCAATTAGCATGCTGATCAGGACACTAGCACCTTGTGATTAATGACAATTGAGTGACTCTAGGCATATACATGTGACAGTAGATGGTAATGAATAAAATAATTCAGTCTCACTTTGTCATGAAGCCTACTGACACCCACCCACCTCTAGCTGGAGAGGCCAAGAAAGACATCCATATTGATACTATTCAAAGTCTTCCTGCTAGCCTTGAAAACAGTATTTAATTTTGTGCATTACACCGCCATCTATCTTTGGAACTCAGTGTCAAAATCGTGGGGCATGTGTCATAACCCAAATGTTCAAAGATAAAGATTGAGAGAGCCCAAAATACTACAGGAGGAATCTCACACACCCCAGATGAAGAAATGGTGACGAAGATCTGAGGTACAGATGTTGTAAACATACTGACAAATCCACAACTTGCAAACTGTGTTCAATACTTAAAATAACAATAACAAAACTTAAACACACAAAAAAACCTTAAATGTCTTTACGATGTGCTGAAACCAAATCTTTCAAAATATATGTGCCTATCATCTCTAACTAAACATTTCTACCAGCAGTAACACAAAGATCAAACACAAAATTTCAAGAATGCATTGAGTTATTCACACATAAACACATCTGTTACACTAACAAAGAGGATGAATTCATTCATACACCTGCCAAATCGTTAAGTCATTTTTCTTCTTGAATGCATGGTTTCCAAAGAAACTCGCCAAGCATGAAATAACACAGTGGCCATCACATGAGCCATTACTCTCTACGGTCAATCTGGTCAATAATAGCATGGAACCTGATATGCTGAAAATATCTAAATCTATAGCATTAGGCTGTCATTGAAAACAGAAATACTGAATTCTCCTTAAAACCCCTGAACACCTCTCTTCATTTACAGAATGTTGTGCAATCAGTATTACCTTTATGAAGACATAATTCAAATACATAAATGATAAATCATATAAGGCTACATCACAACATGCTGCTTCAAGCAGCTTTTTAAAAGCTCACGTCAAATTTAATTTCTTTGTTATTGTTCTTATCTGTTTACCAAGTACTCCAACATAATTTCACAGCTGACTGCTGAATTACAACGACTGAAACTTTATAAGAGGGTAATCTTATCAGTCAGATATGACAAAAGTGAAATCTTAAATGTGTCAAATATGTAAGTGATTATGCAAAATCCTGTTAGGGTATCATGCAGAAAGAAAAGTTACTGTAAGCTAATTCTAGCTATCAACATAAATAATAGAGATCCAAAACTGAGAACTAAATCATATTCTAATATTGATAAATGTTTGAAAAGAAACTTTGTGTGAAATTACAAAAAAGGTCTAAAAGAAATCAACATGCAACATGTATTTCAGTGAGTTAAGTTTTACGCCGCACTCAGCAATATTCCAGCTATATGGCAGCGGTCTGTAATTAATCGACTCAGGACCTGACAATCCAGTGATCAACAGCATAAGCATCTATCTATGCAATTGGGAACCGTTGACATGTCAACCAAGTCAGCTTACTGTCGAGGAAATGATATGCAGATGTTGCAAAAAGTTTTTAGATCCGTGGAATACCGCTGCCTATCAAATTTAGTCCTACATAGTTGCTGTGATCCCGTTAGTCGCCTCTTACGAAAAGCATGGGTTACTGAAGATGAATTCTAACTCGGATCTTCACGGGTTACATGTATTTCATATCATAGGTGAGTGGTAAACATTTATGAATGGAATACTATCAAAACAGCATTTTGAACACAATTAAGAGCCCTGAGAAGAAAGATTTAAATTTGTGTCGTGTGTGTAAATTAAACTATATTTCACCACAACTGATAAAACAAAGTTTCAATAATGATTAATCATTACCAACTTTTCTCATTGACAATATTTCAGATTATCTATCTTTTAGCCAGTCCTACACCAGTCAATAGGCCTAACTTTGGCACATTCTGAACATGTTGAAGTTAATTCAACACCAGACACAAGCATTCATCACCTTACACAGCTGAAGAAAGGTCAATTTTGTGAGAGAAACCGGTGTTAAACATTCATTAAACTTTATAATAATGACACACATGACCAACAGAAAAATAATCCACATTATCTCACCTTTCTAGCTGGTGTTGGCATCTTGGTGGCTGTTGAGTTGTCAACAGTACCTGAAATATAAGGTCAACATAAGGTCATTAATTCTAGTGAGGGAGAATGTACAAGGGACAATAAGGATTGCTGAAGACAAGTAACCTTACATGTATGTTATTCAAAAGCTTCTTCATTTAGAGATCATAGTAACCCATGTGGAAGTTCCAAGCAGCAAATGCCTCCAGCATAGACTAACGCTTAGTCTCTGAATATATATAATTTTGATAGTAACAAAAAGCCCATTTAAATTGAACAGGAGCCCCAGGGAAATCTAGACTTGCTTTATTTAGGGCTTTAGCACTGCAGATGGGGCTTGGCAGTAGGGAAAATAATGTGGTTCAGGGACTGTGAGACAGACTACCCCCAGCATTGTCCAAAGAAGGACCCTAATATCAGGTTGATTACAATGTTAGTTGCAGTTCAACATCTTTTTGTATCCAACCCATTTTCTTGAAATTTTGGTCCTCCTGGGTACCCGAGGATTGCTCCTGTAATATCTGAACGATGCTAAGTGATACAAGAGTACATTGTGTTAAAAATAATAATAACTTAACAAGGATTTTCAAACAAAATCTATGTGTACTAATCAGCATGAGGCTAAAAATATTTTTGATCTGTCACTATTTGAATGAAAAAATACAAAAAAAGGAAAAATAAATAGAACACTGAAATATTAGCATCCTAGTACCACATAAATATTTCATGGTTCCCAAGCCTACTGCACTGCAGCATGTGGAATACTAACAGCACAAGTTAATACATATCAGAATTTCCTAACATGTATCTAATGTTAAAGGTATTGTGACATCCCTTAGTGCTCTTAACAGTATCCTTGTATGCTGTCATTATTTACTAGCCAGTATCATAAAGCAGGAATATTTGCAGGAATATTGCTGAGTCAGTGAGTGCACGATTAATCAACAAACTCTTCAGACTGGTATCCGATTCTGGTTAAGTAAAGTGACTTCAAAAGACAATTTGTACTGAAAACTATTGAAATTTAGTTCTGGTGGTAACATTATGCTAGATCATATGAACGAAAAGCTGGTATTTCTAACATAGAGTACCGCCCTGATAAACATTCCTCACACGTCTTGTTAAACAATATTTATATAAGCCTGCAGACAAGGGGAAATTACTTGAACCTTCCCGAGAAACTAGGTCGCGTCACTGGCCTCAATTCTGCCGAAAATCAGCTGACAACAAAACTATCAATTTAGAAGAGAAGGATCCTGCAAATATTTCCTGTTCTTTTCAAACAGAATATTTAATAAAGCATCTTTACACATGTCGTGTCAGAAGTGATTATAAACAAAGAACAGCACTGATGATTAACGTCATTAGCTGGGTCCGCATTTGGCCAATCCACTCGTTTAGGCATATCAATACCGCTTTTACAACCACTGTGCGCACGACAAACACACACATCAAGAAGTTGCAGTGACCGACATTATCATGAGCGGAAGCCGGTGGTTGGGCATATTTTCATATTAGTGACTTAATTCGTTATTGAATGCAATTCTTATCCGAATACATGGAACTTATGTTTCGGAAACGGAGCGTATCCTTCTAAAACATGTCAGAAGGTGCTATCTTGACGCGCAACAAAGAGGCCAGTGACGCTTCACTCGAGACTTGAGAAAATGGAGTTGGCCTAGCGTGACATTTTGTCGGCATACAACATACACAACTAATCGGCAAGAGTTGACATGAGAAATCTGTATTCTGTGTAAGGCAAATGCACAATTACATCAAAGTGTAAAAGATAAAATGCATGATAAACCATTTTAAAAAGTGTACTTAATGGCTACTTACGATAAGATTTCTTGACAGTAGCGGGAACCTGAGGACTGACGCTTGGCGGGCTAGCTTTTGATTGGTTGCACGGTATTAAAGGTCATGACGTAAACATTCTCACAAATTCGATTGGATAAGAAGGGGATACCCCGCGAGGGCGTATAGTCTGTTTCATAAAGGTCGATGTTTACATCGTTAGGGCAAAAATATGCACAAAAGCATTGCATAACAGCGTATTTTACGTGAACGAATATTTTCACTGTTTATTAAAAACACACTCAATGTTGTTTATTGTTGTTTATTTCCAAAATGCATGTGTGGCCATAGGCCCAAATACATGACACAATAATAATAATATGGGTGATATTATAATTTTAAACAATCATTTTCGCTTCTTAAAACCAACATGAATGAATGCCATTAATTTTGTAAGCACAGAGTGTGAAGTTGTTGACATAAGTTTTGAGAATATTTGTACTGATGGGTTCCTGATCACATAACTTGGTAGAATAGCTTTTCTGATGGTGTCAAGGGAAGGGCATATCAAAGTAAAATATGATACAGATCTTCGATTTCATATCGATCACAGTGTGGACAGATACGTTGCTCACGGGGCATATTTAATATCCGGCCTCTGTCAGTCTGTAGACCTGTATGTCCAACTCTTGCATGAGCAAACTGGCGCGCAAAAGTTTGTAGTGAAGAGTCTAATAAGTATTCTTCAGCACCAAGAGTTGTTTTGTATGTTGAGTATGTATCATATCTTGAAATCCTGGTTAAAAGTCATGCCACTGTTGAGAACTGATATCTTTTAAACGCTGTTTAAAGTCCTGAACAAAATATTCCGTAATACCAACATCTTGTGAAACCCAAGCATATCCCATTCCAACATTTTGTAGTAAGGTTCTAACGTCGGAACACCGTGTATGTCGACCTACATTGTCAAGATTATACAACATGCCATATGCCTTGCGTGGTAGTCGATGAGACGGGAGATGAAGGAGTCTGGTCCAGTACTTGATGCATCTGACGGCACTATCACCATACAGAGGATGACGTCCACACTCTCCAAGGGCCATAGCATTTGGTGTGTTTGTACCGGTTCCAATGTAGCGTTTACAAGCAAGATATTGAACTCTCTCAATTGCGTCGACTCGTGTGTGTCCCCATATTTCACTTCCGTATAACAGGATAGGCTTTATTTTGGTGTCGAATATTTTGAAATAGGTCTTGAATGGTAACTTTCCATATGTCCACATTATACGTAAGATGTTCACTAAGGAACGTTTGCCGTTAGTTGCAAGGTGAAGGACGGATTGGCACAGAGACAGGGTTGGTGTTAGCATGATCCCTAGATATTTGTAACTTGACACAGGCTCGATCTCTTTGCCGTTGTAAAACCATTTTCCACAACGTCTAAGGATTCCCCCTTTTCTAAAGACGACAACCTTTGTCTTCTGTAGATGAACTGACAGGCCCCATGTTTCACAGAATGTAGACAGGATGTTGAGCTGTTGCTGGAGACCGTTGACCCTGTCATACATTAGGATTACATCGTCAGCAAACAAGAGTAGAAATAGTTCGTATAGATCTGGGTATAGCTGTACTCCGCCTTTGCACTCCTGTAATATCATATCAGCGAGTCCATTTATGAACAGAGAGAAAAGGACCGGACTAAGAACACATCCTTGTTTGAGACCAACTGGACAATCAAAGACTTGCGTGTACGATCTCCACTACATCTAACAGAAGCTGCCACTCGTGAATACATAGATTCAATAATGTGAAGCATTTTCCCACTCAAGTTGATGTTTCGAAGTACGTCTGTTGTGCCTGAATATTCATGATTTCTGTGCACTTAAGACCATTGTGCGTTTAAGGGCACAACATACGTCCATCAGTTTTGTTCTATTGATAGAATCAAATGCTTTCCTAAAGTCAATTAGAGCAACGCATAAGCGACCTTTTCTTTTACTGAGATATTTCTGTACGCAGGCAGTTAGTGTGAAGATGTTGTCCGTAGTAGTGTAGCCCTGACGAAATCCTGCTTGTTCTTCACATATCTTGTGATTAATTTCAGTCCACGTCGATAGGCGCTTGTTAAGGATAGATGTGAAAACCTTTCCAAACACACTGTTTAAGGTAATTCCCCGGTAGTTATTCGGGTCTTTGAGACACCCGCTTTTATGTATAGGAACAATAATGCCACTTCCCCAGCCGTTGGGGAAAACACCTATATCAAGGATTTTGTTGAAGAGTTTTTCTAAGTAAGGCAATATATACTTGAGTGATGATTTTAGTAATTCTGGTATTATATAATCCGGACCAGATGACTTTCCACTCTTTAATTTATTCACAGCTTCCGTGATTTCTTTAGCTGTAATGGGGACATCAACAGTATCAACATGGTTACTGTCTACATCATGATTCCCTGCAGTAGTCCTTTCCTGGGTATCACCTGCTGAGAAAAGTTCTTTAAAATGGTCAAACCATTCCTGAGGTGGAATGGAGTAATCTTGCCTCACAGTACCATTCATTTTCGTGACCTGCTTCCAAAACGCTTTGCTATTGCATACAGTTTCTTCCAATAATGATGTCTGTTGAAGTTGTAAAGTTCTGTGCTTGGTTCTAACAGAGGTCTTATATCTGTTACGCAAAACTCTGTATGTATCGAAATGAGACTGGATCTTCGTAGTCCTGTATTTTCGCAATGCTTTTCTGGCCTCAACTTTGTTACCATGACATTCTCTACCATACCAAGTGTTCTTAAGCCGCTTACAGAAAGGTTTGACTTTCCTCTTAAACATAGATGCATGTTCAAGTATATTTTCCGTGAATAAACCAACAGATTGGTTAATGCTACTGTCAGTTAGGTCTGTAGCATTATCTAGAGCAAATAGAAAATCTGGAGACATATGAGCTAATTCAAATTGCCCACGTAAGCTTTCCTTCCACACATATCTGTAACTGTGTGTATCCTCTGCCCTGGCTGTGTTGGTGTTCGTTGTCAAACTAGACGGTAATGTCACTTTCATTGCTTGGTGTTGAGACTCGACTCTTGGACTTGTATATCGAGAACAAGTGTGTAGATATCAGACAATAGTCTATGAGACTAGATCCATTGTGGCATAGGTATGTACTCACGCCGGTACTGTGTTGTCTTGTACCATGTCACCAACAGAACACTGACAAAAGGACTGAATGAAACGGTTTATAAAAAAAGAATGCAGCATTGCTTAACAAAAGTTATTTGGGAAACAACACCTCAATAATGCCAAATGCAGCCACCGAGGCTTCCGTCAGAGACGGGGCGGTGGGGCAGCCAAGTTGTTGAAGCTTTAGCTAGACTCGCTGACTTGGTTGACACATGTCATCGTATCTCAGTTGAGTGGATCGATGCTTATGCAGTTGATCACTGCATGGCTGGTCTGGCCCAGACTCGATTATTTGCAGATCTGCGCCATATAGGTGGAATATTGCTGAGAGTGGCGTGAAACAACAAACAGACGAAACAAACGATCGAGAGTGGTCACAAATTAAAATGTGGGTAAAGGAGTTACTGGTATGAATGTTACCAGATTTCCAACCTCCTCATTTTGGGAATGCTGAATGAGACAGCGGTTTTAGAATGTTAATGAGGCACTGAATTATGTTGCAGACCTGGGATAGCCTATATACTGAGTATATGAGCTATAGTCGGGATTCGAATGTTATCCTTGGTCTTGCGTACCGCTCTGGAGGGATTCGCCAATGAAATGACGCATACCTGTAGGGTTACTTTGATTTCCAACTAACGTTTGAGTGGTTTTGTGTCACCGAACCGATCATGGAATGAAACTGCTCCATTACATACATATCACAAGTGTGTTGTCGTTATAACGGGGACAGGAGTCTCCCGTGTATTCTGTACGTGAAAATATCGTCCTGAATGCGCAAAACTGACGCATGGAATGACTCCACATGAAATGAACATGGAATGAGGCGTCCACATGGAATGACGCATGCACATGGAATGAGGCGGCGTCCATTATGGAATGACGCATGCACATGGAATGAGGCGTCCACATGGAATGACGCATGCACATGGAATGAGGCGTCCACATGGAATGACGCATGCACATGGAATGAGGCGTCCACATGGAATGACGCATGCACATGGAATGAGGCGTCCACATGCAATGACGCATGCACATGGAATGAGGCGTCCACATGGAATGAGGCGTCCACATGGAATGACGCATGCACATGGAATGAGGCGTCCACATGGAATGACGCATGCACATGGAATGAGGCGTCCACATGGAATGACGCTTGCACCTGTGGAAAAGCACAGCCAACTACCTGACATCAACTGGAGACGTAACGGGAGAAGAACCAGTTTTTAAAAAAATCGAAATTAAAGCGCCCCACAAATACCAATATTTAGGTCCAGAAATGTTCTTTCTGGTGCTGAACTCGACACGTGCTGTGTACCGGTGGTAAGACTCTGACGTTAAATCATCTGAGGTGTTGTCCTGTGCTTGACTACCCATGTAAATACACATGGAGGGACATATCTGCTTGACGTCACATCACTTGCACCAGCTGTCCCTGACCATA